GCCACTTCCGGCTTTTTTCTTTTTGCTTATGTGGTGCTGAGGAATCGAACCCAGGGCCTTGAGCATGCAAGGCAAGCGCTCTACCACTGAGCCACCTTCCCAGCCCACAAGCAGGTTTCTGAGGGGCAAGTGGATGAAGAAGGAGACAGAGAGATGGCTGATGGCACAACTCTGTCCACTTTTGCAAAAGCTGTAGCTGGATATACTTTCTATATTTGTCAAATGCTTGCATAATATTATTCTAGGACCCACTGTATGGAAAAGTGCAGACATCACCCATCACTTCCTCATTCTATTTCAATCAATCCTTGTCCACCAAACCTCTTCAGTTAAAGGACAGAATCCCCCAGGTCCAGAAGTGAAAGGAACACTTCCTCAAACCAAAGAAGGACAAGTGCTTGCAGCCCTGAGGTTGGAGTCAATGGCTGTGGAGCCTTTGCTCACACCTTGCCAGCTCCTAGCACCCCAGGGTCTGCAACAAAGAATATCATCCGTTATTCATAACTGAAGGTGAGAGGCAGCTTCAGCTCAACATAGAGATGTTTGATTTATTTTTGTTCTTAAATCCCTATAAAATTCAAATGAGTTGAAATCTATTTGCCTTTTAATTTTTTTAATAAAGGACAGATCATTTTTTGGGGCTTAAACTTATATAGATATAGCACCCTAGAAAGTAGTCAAATGTTAACAGATTGGTGGAGGAGGATTTTTAAACTATTTTTTGTTTGTTTGTTTTGCCAGTCCTGGAGCTTGAAGTGAGGGCCTGGGCACTGTCCCTGAGCTTCTTTTGCTCAAGGCTAGCACTCTACCACTTGAGCTACAGCACCACTTCCAGCTTTTTCTGTGTATGTGGTACTGAGGAATGGAGCCCAGGGCTTCATGCATGCTAGGCAAGCACTCTACCACATTCCCAGCCCCCAAACTATGTTTTCTTTTAGTTATGATTTTCTTATTTTGGTGCTGGTCCTGGAGCTTGAACTCAGAGCCTATGTGCTGTCCCTAAGTGTTTGTGCCCAAAGCTTGTGCTCTTACTACTTGAACCACAACCCCACTTCCATTTTTTGGGTATTTAATTGGAGATAAAAGTCTCACAAACATTTCTGCTAGGGCTGGTTTTGAACGGCAGGCCTGGGGCTGGGAAGGTGGCTCAGTGGTAGAGCACTTGCCTTGCATGCTCAAGGTCCTGGGTTCGATTCCTCAGCACCACATAAGAAAAAAGCTGGAAGTGGCGTTGTGGCTCAAGTGGTAGAGTGCTAGCCTTGAGCTGAAGAGCTGAGGGACAGCGTCCAGGCCCAGAGTTCAGGCCCCACGACCGGACCCCACCCCCAAAAAAATTTACTATCCTTGAACGGCAGTCCTCAGATCTCAGCATCCTGAATAGCTAGGATTATAGGTGTGAGCCACCAGTATCTAGCTAAATTGGGTGTTTTTATAATTAAAATAAAATTTACTTAAAATGATGTAGAAAAATTGTTATTCCTATCTTGGATAATAAGTGAAAGTGTAATATATTCAAGGTAATTTGTATTGCAGGTTTAAGTCTATTTCCTTCCCTTCTGCCCTGGTTCTGAAGTGATAACTACTCCTTTTTCTGATTTGTTCTTAGAATCAGCTTACGACTATGAATGGAGTTTAATAAGCCATCCTGGAGACTACCAAGGTGAAATAAAACTAGGACACACACGAACTGTTAACCTCTCTCAAGTAAGTAACTGGAGGACCAGGGATATGGCTCAAGTGGTAGAGCTCTTACTTATCATGCTTGAGGTCCTGGGTTCAATCACCTCAAAAAGCCCTCTCCCCCCACAAAGTAAGTAATTGAAAATGAAATGCATTTGACAGCACACCAAAGCCCACAATTCTTTTTTTATCATTAAAATCAAAGGAAGAATCTGGGAATAGTGGGGTGGGAGCCTCTAGTCTCTTCTACTTGGGAGGCTGAGGCAGGAAGATTGCTTGAGCTCAAGCATTCGGGGCCAGCCCCAGCAACGTAACAAGACTATCTCAAGAACAAAAGAAAACCAAAAATAGGATAAAGTTTCAACCAAGGAGGTGGACAGGAAGATAGTTAAGTCAAGAGGTTTTCAGAAAGCTTTGCTTCACTTTGAGTTGGCTGATTGCATAACATTCTGGTTAAAAAGCCTGTGTCCAAACTCTTGCTGTCTTGGAAGGGTGAGACACATTCTGGTGACTTCAATTCTTAGTCTGGTGGCTCATCTCTTAGGAGTTGCAAATTAGCCATTCTAGTTCAAAAATTACTCTGACTGCCAACTATTGCACCAAGAGAGAAGTACCTCACAAGAATAAATGTGCCCTCTTCTTGGCCCAGAGGGTGAAATAAGCTGACTTAGCTGCCAGAGCTCTGTTACCTACCAGACAGTAACATCTCATCCCCCGAACTGCACAGCACATGGTGCCTCTTGAACTCATCTCACTCCCCTTTCATTGAGACCTGTTTCTCCAGGTGTGGCACTAGATGTGTAAGCAGACTCTAGAGCTACAGGGTAGCTTTTGGGCTGGAAATGTAGCTCAGTAGTAGAACTACACTTGCATGTATAGGGCTCTGGGTTCATCCCCAGCACTCCCAACAAAACAAAATGAATAAAACATGGTACATCCAGGCACATTTGAGGACGGCTGTTAATCTCCCTAAGGTAGGTGGATATCTGTTCCTAAGTGAAAGGCCCATTAGGATGACCTTTAGTGTTCCACAATGTAGGCTTCAAGCCCATGGCAGTCATAGACAGATGGAAATGAGACTTTCTGCTGAGCCCTTCTCTTTGCCAACTTCAGGAGCTGGCCTCTAGATATTTTAGCCTTTTGTAGGCAGTGAGCCCCTCACGTGAGCCCTTTGCACTTTTACCTGTGTACCTTTTCTTTATGCTGCAGTTGTCAGTAGGACTTTATGCCTTCAAGGTGGCTGTGTCTAATGATAGTGCCTTTGGGGAAGGATTTGTCAATGTCACTGTTAAGCCGGGTAAGTCTATTCTGTGTGTTGTCTCTGTTTCCAGAACTTGGATGGCATTGTTGTTTTATATATATATATAAAACTTTTACCTTAGGCCTGACTGTATAGAAAACATTCAAGAATTATGGTTGTTTGTTTCCTTTCTACTTTCAGCATAACCTTTAGTACTTGCTTGACATGGCTGCTCAAGTCTAGAAGGCAATTACTGACTGTTCTTGCTGTCCCGTGGCTGTTCCCGTGGCTGTCTCTGTCTGCCATTTACTTCATCATCTCTTATTCCTGCCTCCTTTTCTCATGATTCTGCTTTAACTTAGGAGCATGGGTGTTTATTTCAAATACTTTGACTTAGTCTGCTAAGGGGTAAGGACAAAAATATCCTGTGAGCTTTCAAGCCCACAATGAGGCTCTCAGGGTCAGTGTCTTTTGGGTCAATTAGATAGAGTGAGGGATAGCAGGGGATCTGCGATGCCTGGTGTCTGCGTCCCCACTGTGGTCTCACTAATGTTAGTGTCCCCAACCCCTTGCAAGTGTGACCAATGTCACAGTGGAAACTAAACACAATTTGTCCAATGGGTACAAGCCTAGCTTCGTCAGTAGAACATGAACTGGTCTTCAGCCTCTACTACCTCTCAGGGCACCGAGGGCTCACCCTGTACTAGTGCTGTGTGCCCACACCATCTCGCAGCCTTTACCTAGGGCTGATCTCTTCCTATTGCCTCTTCTGCCTCCTTATTAGAGCTGAAGCATTGCCATGGTAGCTGGTGCCTTCAGTGAAATATTTAAGATCTAGCTAGTGACAGGAGCTAAATTATTCTTCCTTTTCTGTTCTTCCCGTCACTGACCACATCTTGTGACTTACCCTTTGATCCTGGGCTTCATACGAAAATGGAAACTTCCAGACAAGCTCTTGAAATTTCATAGGAAAGGCTTCTTGAAAAGGTGTTTTCTGTACCAGAGGCCTGTGGGCTAATCACCCTCTTGACAGGATGCTTAGAATCCCTTTTTCAGGAAGCAGATGGCTTTGTTTGGGGATGAGTTACGCAGACACCTTGTGAGCTCAGTTTCTGTCTTTTTTCCTCTCACAGCTGCAAGAGTCAACCTGCCACCTGTAGCAGTTGTTTCTCCTCAGATTCAAGAGCTCTCTCTGCCTGTGACATCAGCCCTCATCGATGGCAGCCGTGTGTATCCCATGCTACTTCAGCCTTTTGGTTTCTTTCTCCCCACAAATAGTGAGATTTAGTGGGGGATCTGAATCAAGGCTGAGAGGACCTACAGCCAAGACATTGATAAATCATGGTGGTCTCATTCTTTAGTTTTACTATCTTAGAGGTTTCTTTTTCTTTAAATCACAACATCTCTGACTTATGCTCAACTACCCTTCAGGTGTCTTTTATTTACCTATAAGAAGGCTTTGCCGGGCACACTGATATCCTTCTGTAATAGCGTTGGGAAGCTGAGGCAGGAAGACTGCAAGTTCAAGGCCAGCCTGAGGCAACTTAGCTTCACAAACAAAAAGAAAAGAGAAGGAGAGAAAAAGTAAACAGAAATTACTTCTCATACTATGTTGAAAATAAACTTTACAACTTGAGGGGGGGTACTTGGATAGGTGGGAAGGAAGGGATGGTAGGGGAAAAACAAAGGAAGAGGCACTCATTGCCTTACTCATGGAACTGTAACCCCTCTGTACAGTATTTTTTTTTTTTTTTGGTCGTTGTGGGGCTTGAACTCTGGGCTTGGGCGCTGTCCCTGTGCTCTTCAGCTCAAGGCAAGTGCTCTACTGCCTAAGTCACAGCACCACTTCTGGTTTTCTAGTGGTTTATTGGAGATAAGAGTCTCACAGACTTTGCTGCCCGGGCTGGCTTTGAGCCATGATTCTCAGATCTCAGCCTCCTGAGTAGCTAGGATTACAGGCATGAGCCACCGGCGCCTAGCTCTGTACAGTATTTTTACAGTAAAAATGTATTAAAATTAGTTATCTATGGATAGCTATTTAATTGGGTATAATAATTGTCAAAGGGTCTTTCAATGTATATAGCATATATCATTGGCAGTTGGAAAAATCAGGTGTGTCCAGGAAAACCAGAATAGAAGCAAAACTTTTCCTATATTTTATAATTGTATTCGTGTGCATCTAATCAGAAAGTTGGTGCCAAATCCTGTTGAATAAGAACCACTGTCCTGGTTGATAGAAGGATGTTCATTGGATCCAGATCCTGCTTTATTCTGTCAGCTTGCAAATGTGTGGAGATCACGTTGATGCGACCTTTTGCATCTATTTAATGTAGCTGTTTGTATTTCCCTGACAACATGAAAATGAAACAATTTTTTTCTTGGTGCAGGTACTGGGGTTTGAACTCAGCAGCCCATTCCCTCACTTACCTTTTTATTCTCAAGGCTGGCTGGTGTCACTGGCTACCACCTGAGCCACAGCTTCACTTCTGGCTTTTTGCTGGTTAATTGGAGATAAAGGTTTCACAAACTTCTTTACCTGGGTTGGCTTTGAATCTTGATCCTCAGATCTCAGTCTCTTGAGTAGCTGGAAATATAGGTGTGAGCCACCAGTTCCCAGCTTGCCTTCTAATAAATAATACATACCACTGAGATCTGTGCAAGTATAGGATTTCATATAAGATAAATGAAATATGCAATGATAGAAACTATAAGACGAGGGGCTGGGAAGGTGGCTCAGTGGTAGAGTGCTTGCCTTGCATGCATGAGGCCCTGGGTTCGATTCCTCAGCACCACATAACAGAAAAAGCCGGAAGTGGGGCTGAGGCTCAAGTGAGCTGAGGGACAGCGCCCAGGCCCAGAGTTCAGGCCCCATGACCGACCAAAAAAAAAAAAGAAACTATCAGACAAGTTTTTACTATTGTGCTTCTTAGCTGTACTTGTTTTTTTCAATCTTATAGAAAGTACAGATGATACTGAGATTGTGAGCTACCACTGGGAAGAAATTCACGGGCCCTTCCTGGAAGAGAAGCTCTTGCTCGACTCTCCTGTCTTGCACTTGTCTAACCTTCTTCCTGGGAACTACACTTTCAGGCAAGTGGCTTTCACCTTCTTGTGCTTTTCATTACATATGGTTCTATTTTCATATATTGATTCCCATAAAACATAGTGCTTCTCTCTCTCTCTCTCTCTCTGCTGATCCTGGGGCTTAAACTTGGGGTCTGGGCACTGTCCCTGAGTCTCTTTGTATTCTTGAGCCACAGCATCACTTCTGGCTTTTTCTAGCTTTTTTTTTTTTTAATTGGAATTAAAGAGTCTCACAGCCAGCTGGATGCCGGTGGCTCACGTCTGTAATACTAGCTACTCAGAAGGCTGAGATCTGAGATTGCAGTTCAAAGCCAGCCTGGGCAGGAAAGCCTGTGAAACTCTTTTTTTTTGTCGGTTGTGGGGCTTGAACTCTGGGCCTGGGCGCTGTCCCTCAGCTCTTCAGCTCAAGGCGAGTGCTCTACCACTTGAGCTACAGCGCCACTTCTGGTTTTCTGGTAGTTTATTAGAGATAGGAGTCTCACGGTCTCTCCTGCCAGGGCTGGCTTTGAACCGCGATCCTCAGATCTCAGCCTCCTGAATAGCTAGGATTACAGGCGTGAGCCACCAGCGCCCGGCTTTGTGAAACTCTTATATCCAATAAACTACCAGAAAACCAGAAGTGGCATTGTGGCTCAAGTGGTAGAGTGCTAGCCTTGAGCTGAAGAGCTGAGGGACAGTATTCAGGTCCAGAGGTCAAGACCCATGACAGACCAAAAAAAAAAAAAAGAAAAGAAAAAGAAAAAGTCTCACAGCCTTTTCTGTCTGGATTGGTTTCGAACATTGATCCTCAGATCTCAGCTTTCTAAGCGGCTAGGATTACAGGTGTGAGCCACTGGCACCTGGCTCTGTGCTTTTCATTTTGATCAAGAGGCATGGCTTTCTCATGGCTTTGAGTGGCTACTGTTGTATACTCTGATCTTCATAGTGATTTATGTGAAGTGTAAACATTTGTTTTCGGGGAAACACTTGGACTGGGTTGTCGAGAATATGCCAGAACAACATCTTTTTGTTTTGTTGAGTTACACCTCGAGGCACACCTCCAGTTCCAGCTTTTTGCTAGTTCATGGGAGATAGATTTTCTCAGATTTTCTGCCCAACTGGCTTAAATCTTGATCCTCAGATCTCAGTCTCCCAAGTAGCTAGAATTCTAGTAGCTAGTATTGTGAGCCACCAGTATCTGGTAAAATTTGAATTCTTAAAAAAATATTTTTAGGTGCTGGGAAGGTGGCTCAGTGGTAGAGCGCTTGCCTTGCATGCATGGGGCCCTGGGTTCAATTCCTCAGCACCACATAAGTAGAAAAGGCCGGAAGTGGCGCTGTGGCTCAAGTGGTAGAATGCTAACCTTGAGCTGAAGAGCTCAGTGTCCTTCAACATTGCCCAGGCCCAGAGTTCAGGCCCCACAAACAGCAAAAAAAAAAATTAAAAAAATATATATTTAAACCAAGTCTCACTATGTTGGCCACGCTTTTCTCAAACTCCTTTGCTCAAGCAATCTTTCTAAGTATCTGGGACTATAGGTGTGCACTAGCAGATTCATTGGACATATGGGTGTTTTGCAGTGTAAAACATTACAAATAAAGCTGTTATGTATAGCATTTTGTATATATTTAAAAATTTGTATTTTGTGAATGTGGGAAGAGGAGGAAGTTATCCAGGAGTGGATGGTGAATATATGTTTAATATGTCAAATACTTTCCCAAAGTCCTGTACCTTTCTATGTTCATACACTTTGAGTGTATGAGAATCTCATTCTCCAGATTCTCACCACTACTTAGTATGGTCAGTTTAAAAAATTTAGTCAGTCTGTTGGGTGGTAATTTCCCCAAGAGCCTTTTGAGCATTTTGAGCTTTATTGCGCATTTTTTCAAGTGCTTATTAGCCATTGATATAACTGGGGGAAGTGTCTATTCAGATCTTTTTGCTTACTTAAAAATTTGCATTATTTATCTTATTTGAATATGAGTTCAGTAGACATTCTGAATACAAGTTCCTTATTTTACATGTGTATATATTATGTATGTATCATATATGCATAGATATATGTGTATTTATGTATACATACTAGAAAATTCCTACCAGTGACTTGCCTTTCAAACAGCAAAAGCTTTTATTTTGAAAAAAATGTAACATCCTTTTTTTATCTTTTGTTTTATGCACTTTGTGTTTATGTATCATTCCTTATCCCAATGCTGCAAAGATTTTTGTTTTTTTTTCTAGAAGGGTTATAACTTCTGCTTATATAATTAAGTCACTGATATGTATTGAGTTAGTTTTGTATATTATATGGGATTTTTGAAAGTTAAATTAACCTTGTGTTTTTTTTCTGTCATGTTGGGATTTGAACTCAGGCCTTTATGCTTGCTAGGCAGCTGTCTATCACTGAGACATGCCTTCAGCCCTCAATTTTGCATTTTTGGATTAAAACTGACTTGGTCATGAGATTTTTTTAATAATATTGGATTCATTTGCAAATATTTTGGCATAGATCTTTATTTATCAATAGTTTTCTCTTTCTTATTTTCTTTCTTTCTTTTCTTTCTTTCCTTTCTTTCTTTCTTTCTTTCCTTTCTTTCTTTCTTTCTTTCTTTCCTTTCTTTCTTTCTTTCTTTCTTTCTTTCTTTCTTTCTTTCTTTCTTTCTTTCTTTCTTTCTTTCTTTCCTTTCTTTCCTTTTCTCCTTTTCTCCTCTCCTCCCCTTCCTCCTCCTCCTTCTTCTTCTTCTTCTGTCATGGGGCTTGAACTCTGAGCCTGGGCACTGTCCCTCAGCTCTTCAGCTCAAGGTGAGCATCTACCACTTGGACCACAGTGCCACTTTCTGGTTTTATGGTGGTTAATTGGAGATAAGAGTCTCACTGCCGCTCCTGCCCAGGCTGGCTTTGAACCACAGTCCTCAGATTTCAGCCTCCTGAGTAGCTAGGATTACAGGTTCCAGCCACAGACAGCTTTAGACCATTCATCTTAAGACTTGATTTGTAATACCTTCCTGTCTTCTTTGTAGGCTGACTATTACAGACTCAGATGGAGCCACTAACTTTACAACTGCAGTCCTGATCGTTCACAGTGCTGTGGACTACCCACCTGTTGCCAATGCAGGACCAAATCAGACCATAGCTTTGCCCCAAAACTCCATCACTTTGAATGGAAACCAGAGCAGTGATGACCACCGGATTGTCCTCTATGAGTGGTCCCTGAGCTCCAGCAGTGAGAGCAAAGAGGTGACCATGGAGGCAAGTTCTTTTTGCTGCCTTCAGATGTTTAAATGTCTTAGCTGTCTTATCTGTCTGTCGATCTATCCATTATGTTTATTTATCTATGTCTGATCTATTATCTGTGATGTTTAACTGTTTATCTGTTCCATTCCTCCATCCATCTGTCTGTCCACCTATTATTTATCAATGTTTAATTATGTCTGCATTATCTCTATCTGTCTATCTATCTATCTATCTATTTCCATCCATCTTTCTATCAAACAAGTATTATTTTCAGGAGGCAGAATATGTTTCATAAAACTGTCTGATAGTTGTTAAACTATTAGACAGGTTCTACATTTACAAATCTTTCAAGTTTATATCCCTTCCCTTCACTCACTCAGAGAAGCATAAAGCTGCTACCAAGAGTCTTGTGTTGACTTAGGCTTGAAGTCAATTTGGAAAAGCCTGGCTCAATATTTGTCACAGAAAAAAAGGTATTTTAGTGTTAAAAGAAATGTAAGAAATAATCTAAGCCAAACCTCATTATCAGAAAATAATTTTTTATTCAGTTTCTCCTATTAGTAGAAATTTTAGAGTATTTTGTTTATATCCAGTGGTTTCTTCCTTTTTGTTTTTTTTTGCCAGACTTGGGGCTTGAACTCAGGGCCTAAGCACCGTCCTTGAGCTTCTTTGGCTCAAGACTAGCACTCTACCATTTGAGCCAGAGCTCCACTTTAGGCTTTTTCTGCTTATATGGTACTGAGGAATCCAACCCAGGGCTTCATGCATAGTAGGCAAGCACTTCACCACTAAGCCACATTCCCAGCCCCCCACTGGTTTCTTTTTTAATGAGCTTCTTTGTATCTGTGTTTTGACTTATTCAACTCATTTATTCTTCTAAAGACATAACAAGTTTGAAACCTTTGAGCTTGTGTGTATGAGTGTATATGTTTGTGTGTGTGTGTGTGTGTGTGTGTGTGTGTGTGTATGATCCACAGTTTTAGAGATTTCAATCCAAGATCAGTTGCCCTGGTTTTTTTTTTGGGGGGGGGAAGGAGTCCTGTAACAAGGCAGCACAGCATGGTGGGAAGTTTGTAGCAGAACAAAAAGCTACTCACCTCATGGTAGTCAGGAAGCAAAGAGGAGGAAGAGACAAGGATCCCACAATCCTCTTTGAGGACACACACCTCCCCCACAATGGCCTACAGACCTCCCTCTAAGCCTTCCGGGTTCCATTACCTTCCAGTAGTACGTGGGTTGGAAACTAAGCCTTTAACACTTAGGCCTTCATGGGGAACATTCCAGATCCAGCTGTCACATTCTTCTTTGGTATTTGAGAGCTTGGAAATTTTGAAATTGTTTTATTATTTGAAAGTTTAATTTTTTAAAGGGTTCTTTTATTGCCAGTCCCCTTTTCTCCTTCAAGCTCTGTCTCACCAGTCCTAGATGAATTTTCATGGAAGGTGAACATGAGAGCTTACCTGCTTTACGTTCTAGTATTTCTGCAACGTAGTTTGCAATGATGGTGAATTAAAAATGATAGACTGCATCTATGGAACCTCAGAAGGGCTATGAGCCCTTGGGGAGCACTCTTCTTCAGGGTCTTCTGCTGTCACTCAGCTTTCTGTTTTTGGTTTCCTTGTTTCATTTTAAGCAGGATATCTGAGATCTCTGGGTTAATATGTATCTCTGTATTGTATCATACTATCTTGTGCTTCTTTAATATTGCCTTTCCATTTTCATTTTTATATTTCCTGTTATTAGGGAGCACAGACTCCCTACCTCCACTTGTCTGCAATGCAGGAAGGAGAATATACATTTCAGCTGATGGTGACAGACTCTTCAGGACAGCAGTCCGTGGCTCTGGTCACTGTGATTGTCCAACCTGGTAGGTGAGATGGAAATGAGACTTGACCCTGGAGATGAGAGAGTGGAAATGACAGTGTGCTTTTGAGCTTTGGCTATGTCCAATTTATTGGCAATATCTCTGAATCTCTGAGCTGTCAGGAAATTGGAGCCGTGGGAGGTGACACTGCATACAACCCCACCCCCCCTTTAAAAAAAATTCTGAATCTTGTCTTGACTGTCTCTAAACCTTGCTATGAAGGACTAAATGAGTAATCTCTGATTTGCTACATGGTCACTCCCGCCTGGGTTGGACCCTGTTGTAGAGAACCCCAGAGGACTGCCAGAGGGCTGGGTCTCTGAGCCTTTGTTGTTGTGTTGTTGTTGTTGGTCATGGGCGTGGACCCTGGGCCTGCACTGTCCCTCAGCTCTTCAGCTCAAGGCTAGTGCTCTACCACTTTGGCTTTTTCTGCTTACATGGTGCTGAGGAATCGAACCCAAGGCCTCATGCATACAAGGCAAGCACTCTACCACTGAGCCACTTTCCCAGCCTTCTCTGAGGCTTTTTAACTCTCTTCCCCACTCCCTCCCTCATTTCTTCCCTTCTTGATTTTTTTTTCCCCCTGCTGGTAACTGGGGCTTGAACTCAGTGCCAGGAGACTGTCCTTTAGCTTTTCTGTTTAAGGTTGTCACTCTAACACGTGAGCCACACTTCCACTTCTAGCTTTTTTTTTTATTTAATTTTATTTTATTTGTGAACATACTGTACAGAGGGGTTACAATTGCATGGGCAGGATAATGCGTACATTTCTTACCAAGCATTGCAGCCTCCTCCTTTGTTTACCCTTCCCATCCCTTCCCAGCCTCCCCCCTCCCCCCCATCCCAATCCTTCTCCTTCCACTTCTAGCTTTTTGATGGTTAATCAGAGAAAAGAGTTTCATGGACCTTTCTCTTCCTGCCCAGGTTCACTTCCAACCACACTCCTCAGATCTCACCCTTTGGAGTAGCTAGGATTATATGCATGAACTAAAGTGCCCAGCTTGCTTTGCCTTCCCTTCCCCATTTCCCTTTCCTTGTTCCTTCCCTTTCCCCTTCCACTTCCCTTCCTTTTTCTTCTCTGCTCTCTTCCTTTTCCTTCTTTCTTGATCTATGACTTTTGAAGGTCTTCTAAAGAAGTCAAAGATGTGTCTATCTTTGAGCCATGGTTTTTCCTGCCCTGATCCCCATTCTCAAAGCTGCAATGTTCAGTTCCTGGGTCAGCTAGGTGACTGCAGTGTGCATTTCCTTGCACCTCTTCTACCATAAAGCTTACCACACACTTCTGATACCCAAAGGACACTGCATGCCCTAGGACCTTGAGCATGAGTAATTTGAATATGCCAAGAAATCAAGTGGTTGCATATTTAATAAAAAAGATACTTTTTTCACATTGTTTCTGTAATTCTAGACAACAACAGGCCTCCAATAGCTGTGGCTGGCCCAGATAAGGAGCTGGTCTTCCCCGTGGAAAGTGCCACCCTGGATGGTAGCAGGAGCAGTGATGACCATGGCATTGTCCTCTACCGCTGGGAGCATGTCAGGTAGTATACCCAGCTTCTATCTTCACCACCATGGACCATGCCTGAGTGATATTATGTCTTTTCTGGAAGATCTACATTACCAGTTTAGCTTGAGCTTGTTGAGGAATTGGGATAAAAAAATAAAAAACAGGGCTGGGCAGGTGGCTCAGTGGTAGAGCGCTTGCCTTGCATGCATGAGGCCCTGGGTTCGATTCCTCAGCACCACATAAGCAAACAGAAAAAAAGCTGGAAGTGGCATTGTGGCTCAAGTGGTAGAGCGCTAGCCTTGAGCTGAAGAGTTGAGGGACAGCGCCCAGGCCCAGAGATCAGGCCCCATGACCAGACCCAAAAAATAAAAAATAAAAAACAAATGGGCACTGTTGATAGAAGAATATAGTAAGCATGAGTTGGGTGTGCTGACTCCATGATCAGAACACTTGGGAGGCTGAGAATATGAGGATCACGGCTTCAGGCCAGTATTGGCATCCATTGGAGACACCCCCTTCTTCTTAACCAGTACCTGGGTATGGTGGCCCATGCCTGTCATCTTAACCCTGTGGGGTGCTGAGATCAGGAGATTCATAGTTCCAGGGCTAGGGCTAGCCTGATCAGAAACGTCCACAAGACTCCATCTCGACAGAAGAAGCTGTGTATGGTGGTATGTGCTTGTTATCCCAGCTATGGCAGGAAGCAACAGAGGGAGGATTGAAGTCCAAGCATATGTTAGGGTCAGAAGTCAGATCTCATCTCAAAAATAACCAGTGCAGGAACTGGAGGCATGGCTCAAGTGGTAGAGTGTCAGCCTTGAGTGAAAAAGCTGAAGTAGAGCCCAAGGCCCTGATTTCAAGCCCAGCACACTCCTTTCCACCACACATGTGAATAACTCTCTGTCAACCACTTTCACATTTTGCAGAGGCCCAAGTGCAGTGGAGATGGAAGATGCCGACAGAGCTGTAGCCACTGTAACTGGTCTTCAGGTGGGTACGCACCACTTCCGTTTAACAGTGAAAGACCAGCAAGGCCTGAGCAGCACATCCACCCTGACTGTGGCAGTGAAGAAGGGTGAGTGGACAGATTGTGCTGGAGAGACTGGACCTGCCATTCCCTCATGCTGGACCAGGAGTATTGTGAGATGCTGGTGTTTGCTTATTAGTTCATAGCAGGTGCAAAACTCTGCCTTTGTCCAGAAAAGCCAGCATTCTGCTCATACTAGCAGTTACCCAGTCTCCTTGTGCAAGGAAATTGCATTTCTTCGTGCTTGTGAAGTGCGTCCTTTAAGGCACTCATTGTCCTGTGATTGCCTTAAAGCCCTGTGTCTAAATGGCACCTTTGCGTTCTCTCTTTCTTGGAAACACAAGAGTAGTAGTGTGTTCATGTTCTACATATTTTCTCTGTGTGAAATTTGTGATGCAGACTAACGCAGTATTCCTTTGGGTTCTTGACTACTTATCAGTTTTCCAACTTGATTATGAACACACATCTGCATATATATCCACATAAATCAATCAGCCAATCAAAATTATAACATAGTTGGACTTGGGTGTAGTTAACACATTAGCATGTACTTAGCATGTATGAGTCCCTGGATTTGATCCTTAGCACTGAAAGAAAAAGAAAGGCAGGGTGAGAGGGAGAGAAGGAGAGAGGGAGGGAGGAAGGGAAAAAGAAAGAAGGGAAAAAGAAAAGAGAAAGGAAGGAAGGAAAAGGAAAGAATGAAGAAGGAGGAAGATGGGAAAAAAGAAAGAAGAGTCAGTTGATAAGAAGAGAGTCTGAAAGCAGGGAGAATACAAAGTGTTTGTAATGGTTTAGATGAGAGATGACAGGAGCCCCATTTGAGGAGAAAAGGCGTAGATGGGAAAGATAGCTGAGAGCCTCTGTTCTTAGGAATTAGAAACTTAATGGATCTGGAGGGTAAGAAAAGTGGTCTCTAAGGTGACATTGAAAGTCTGATCCCAGCATATGGGTGGGTGATGGAGCAATGGTTTGAAATTTCATCCCAGATGGTAAGTTTGAGGAATAAATTCAGAACTGGACATGTTGCATTTGTAGCAATAGAGTTTGTGAGGTGCCAGGGGAGCCCCATGACTGGAGTTTAAGAGCACATCAGCAACCAACATGGAAGGATGTGGTTTTCTAGTTGTGGGCCTATGTGGAATCTAGATATCATTTTAAACAGAAAGATTTTAGGGCTGTTCTATTTCTATTCTTTCTGGCCTTTACCTTTATGCAAGGCAGAATTAACCTTCTTTAACACCAGACCTCCTCTAACCAAGCCCTCCAAAAGAGATTGTGGTATTGAAATGACTTGTTTCCCCAGTTCTGGGGATGGAACCCAGGCCATTTTACATAGTAGGCAAACATTCTATCACTGAGCTATACCTCCAACCCAATGAAACGGGGAAGCGTGGTATCTGTTGTCTCTGGTGCCTTTTTTCAGGATAGTAGTTTCTGGTGATCAGTGGGTTGTAAGTGACTCCCACAAATCCAGATTTGGCTGTTCTTACCCCCATTTTCTGTTGTAAAGGGCATATTGGATCCTGAGCCTCACATGAACAAGCAGAGTCTTCTTCAGAATAACCTCATCTCCAAACTTGAACTGTGCTTTATTATGATCTCCCCCCATACCCCAGCTTTGCTGGCTGTCCATGGCCCTTCTTTCCTGAGGACCTTAAGTCAGGAAGAACATTCACATTGCCTCATTTATAACCAATACCTAGTCATTATTAGTGAGTCTATTCTTCTTCTTTTTTTTACCAATTTGAAAATATTAGAAATAAAAAATATATATATATATATTTGGTCGGTTATGGGGCTTGAACTCTGGGCCTAGGCACTGTCCCTCAGCTCTTTAGCTCAAGGCTAGTGCTTTACCACTTGAGCCACAGCGCCACGTCCAGTTTTCTAGTGGTTTATTGGAGATAAGAGTCTCATGGACTTTCTTGCCTAGGCTGGCTTTGAACTGCAATCCTCAGATCTCGGTCTCTTGAGTAGCTAATATTATAGGCATGAGCCACTGGCGCCTGGCAATAAAAATATTTCTTGAGCCAGATGGCATGGACTCATAAGAAAAATGTATATTTTTTACTTTATTTTATTTATTTTATCTTATTATTTGGGCAGAGCTGGGAATTACATTCAGAGCCTTGTTCATACTAGGCAAGTGCTCTACCACTTGATTTTAAATCAAAATATCTTCACTTTCTAAACGCTGAACATAAGATTATTTCCATTTTTTTAGGAGAAAAAAAATCCATCACATTAAGTCTCCAATGTCCAGCCTGCTATCTATTCTATATTTTTTCCTTTCAAATAATAAACAGGTAGGCACAGAGCTCTAAGAAAGTTTATATACTATTTTATATGTGGAGCATCAAATAATGCCTTTTGAATATTTAAATTCTATAAATCTGCAAGATATGGGATATATTTTATAATATACTTTTTATATTTCCAGAGGTTTAAATCCATTTCTTTGCTTTTATTCTTGCTGTATTTGACTTAGAAAATAACAGTCCTCCCCGAGCCCAGGCTGGTGGCAGACATGTTCTTGTGCTCCCCAATAATTCCATTACTTTGGATGGTTCAAGGTCTACTGATGACCAAGGAATTGTATCCTATCTGTGGATCCGGGATGGTCAGAGTCCAGCAGCAGGAGTAAGTACTTAAAGGAATTGTCCCTTGGAGAGTTGTAGTGTATCTGTATGAGTCAGGATGGGCTGCAAAAACAAAAGTACCACAGATAGGGTGTCTTTATTTTCTCACATTTCTGGAGCCTGGGAAGAAAAGATCAAAGTGCTGGCTAACCCAGTTTCTCATGAGGTCTCTCTTCCTGGCTCGTAGATGTCTCCTTCTCCCTGTGTTCTCACATGGCGAGGGAGAGAGACGAGGTGGCAGGGGTAGGGCACTAGCTCTATATCTCTTTAGAAGGACACTAATCTTGTTAGATAGGGACCCCTATCCTAATGACCTCACTTAACGTTAGTTAAAGCCTTAGGTCCAGTCACATTGAGGATTAGGGTACCAATGTATGAGTTCTCTTAGGAAACAGTTGGATACACAGCAAAGCTCTGTTCTCTCATTTTCTCCAATAAGATGCCATGCTTCTTCATTCATAAGTTCTGAGGGTCGGAGGCAGTAGGCTGTTGTTACATTTAAACAAAGTCCTTTCTGCCTTCTCCCTGATCTGATGTCTGATGGGGTAGCAAACCATAGGGACTTTGAAGTCAAATCATGAGTGGAATCATTCTACTCTCAGCTTCTCTGTTACTCCTATTTTGGTCTAAGTTGATTATTTGTGTGCCCCAGTCCTGGGTTTGAACTCAGGGAAAGCATAGTCTCCCTGACTTTTTTATGCTCAAGGCTGCCGTTCTACCAGTTGAACCAGAGCTCCACCTCTGGCTTTTTGTGTGTTACTTAGAAAGAAGAGTCTCACAGATTCCTTTCCTCCTCTTCCTCCTCCTCGTCCTCCTCCTCCTCCTCCTTCTCCTCTTCCTCCTCCTTCTTCTTCTTTTGGCCAAGGCTGGCTTTGAACCATGATTCTCAGAGCTCAGCCTCCTGAGTAGCTAAGATTACAGGCATTAGCCACTGGGGGCCCAGCTCTAACTCAACTTTTTTTTTTTTTTTTCTGGTGGGGCCTGAACTTGGCCTGGGTGCTGTCCCTCAGCTCTTCAGCTCAAGGCTAGTGCTCTACCACTTGAGCCACAGTGCCACTTCCAGCTTTTTCTGCGTATGTGGTGCTGAGGAATCGAACCCAGGGCCTCATGCATACAAGGCAAGCACTCTACCACTGAGCTACCTTCCCAGCCCCCTAAGTCAACTTTAATCAAATCAAACAAATGTAGGGTTTTAGCTTCTGGAAGGTACATTTACCCTAGTAGATCACTTTATCTCTTAAGATATAAATTTAGGTACATCTTCTGCTGTTGCTAAGTTCTGCAAATATACTCTTGGAGATGTACCAAAGGAGCGATTACAGGAAAGGAACTGAGAATGTTCCATACTTTTCAAGGCAATTTTAAAATTAGCTCAGTTCCTCTCAATGGTAGGTTAGCTTCTTCGCATAATTGCAAGGGTCTATGTTCAGAACCCTCTTTTTTTTTGGTTGCCATCCTTTCCCATTTACAAGTGCATACCAGGGAACAGTGATGTCCCCAGGCTCTGAGGTCATTTCAAGGTGAACATCACATGCCACGAGACCCATGCTTTGAGCTGAGGAAAGTCAATCTTCTTTCCTTCTGCTGGATGAACTGAATCATTTGTTAATTCCTAGCAAGTGCTTGGGAAACTCAGTTCTCAGTGCCCTCCGAGAACTTTGTGCCCTCAGTGCTTGATGGGGAAGAGATGCAAAGGGTTAATCAGAACACCAGTGCCCCTCCTTCCAGTTTCCTTCTTCTTTGTTTTTATGAAGTCGTCTATATAGGAAAAGATAGGATACTGGCTGAGGTTTGGGATCAACAGAAGCTCAACACTTGGGACTTGAGATTGACAGCTGTCCTGTAAATCACATTATTTTACAGGATGTCATTGATGGCTCTGACCACAGTGTGGCGCTACAGCTCACTAATTTGGTGGAGGGCATCTACACTTTCCACTTGAGAGTCACCGACAGTCAGGGGGCCTCGGACACAGACAAGGCCACCGTGGAAGTGCGGCCAGGTGTGTTCATTCCCTGCCAAGTTGACCAGGGCTTCTGGCCAGATGAAACTCAGTGTAGAGGCCCATCATGGCTGGCTTCCTTCTGTTCAAACCAGGGCCCACTTTGAAGAATGTTCTAGAACTTTGTGGTATATTGCCCCTGCCTCAAAACTAGTTAAGGAGAATAGTGATTGTCCTGAAAGACTTTGGAGCAGTAGATATGATGGCTTGGATACAGGAACTGCTGTAAGGGAGACAGTTCCAGTGAGGACCAGAGTGACACCTCGAAGTTTCAAGTTAGCCTATAGGCTAAGTAGGTTCACTTGATGTCTTCTGGAAAAAAACATTTAGACAACCTGGGATAAAACAGAGGGAAAAGTAGATGGTAACTTCTGTTTAGAAAAATTTATCTGAATCCTAAGAGACAAATATATAAATTACATGAGTGGAGAGAGTGTGTGTGTGTGTGTGTGTGTGTGTGTGTGTGTGTGCATGCGCTCCTGTGCTAGTACTGGTTCTAGAGTTCAGGGCCTTGGTATTATATAGTCTCTTAGAGTCTTTTTTCCTGCTCAAGGCTAGTACCCTACTACTTGAGCCACAGCTCCACTTCTGTTTAGTTGGAGGTAAGAGTCTCATGGACTTTTCTTTCCCAGGCTGGCTTCCAACTTTGCACCTCAGATTGAGTAGCTAGAATTACAGGTGTGAGCCACAAGTGCCTGGCTGCAAGAATGATTTTGAAAACCCTGATACCAGCCTTTCTTCTTATACTGTGATCTCCATGTGGAAATCCCCTTTCTTCTCTTCCCTCAGACCCTAAGAAGGGTGGACAGGTGGAACTGATCCTTCAGGTTGGCACTGAGCAACTGACAGAGCAGCAGAAGGACACCCTGGTGAGGCAGCTGGCAATGCTACTGAATGTGCTGGACACCGACATTAAGGTTCAGAAAATCCAGGCCTACTCAGATCTCAGGTATGAGCTACATGTCCAGCTCTTCTCTCTTTTCAGTCCTATAGAAAGAGGCTCATCTTTTGCACATCTGTATCTTTGTGCACATCTTTTTTCTATCGAGATATTCTTTTCTTCTCAAAGGGCAGAGTAAGATGTTTCTAGTCTTTTCCTCAGGTTTCAGTAAATGTTTAATGGAGTTAAAGAATAGAGCAGAGAGAGCTACGATTTTTAGATCTGGTATTTTCAGAGGGCATATAAATGACATGGGGTTTTTCTTTCTTTTTTTTTTGGTCGGTCGTGGGGCTTGAACTCTGGGCTTGGGCGCTGTCCCTCAGCTCTTCAGCTCAAGGCGAGCGCTCTACCACTTGAGCTACAGCGCCACTTCCAGTTTTCTGGTGGTTTTATTGGAGATAGGAGTCTCACGGTCTCTCCTGCCCGGGCTGGCTTTGAACCGCGATCCTCAGATCTCAGCCTCCTGAGTAGCTAGGATTACAGGCGTGAGCCACCAGCGCCCGGCAGACATGGGGCTTTTCTCATGCTGGGCTTTATCACTGGGGATGAGGCCCTTAGAAACTTCTCTTAATGTGAAATGATCACTGATTCCCATTTACTGACTTATGAGAGAATATGAGACTGAACCTTATGCTTTAATTCTTTTTTTCCCCCTTTTGTTGGTCATGGGGCTTGAACTCTGGGCCTGGGCACTGTCCCTGAACTCTTCAGCTCAAGGCAACCACTCTACCACTTGAGCCACAGTGCCACTGTGGTTAATTGGAGACAAGAGTCTCACAGACTTTCCTGCCTAGCTTGGCTTTGAACCGTGATCCTCAGATCTCAGCTTCCTGAGTAGCTAGGATTACAGGTGTAAGCCACTAGCGCCTGGCACGCTTTAATTCTTATGAGATGTTCACACTTAACTGAGTTTATTTTAAAACACTTTTCCAATTGAGTGGGATGGGAGAAGGAAAAAAATAGGAGAGAAAACCTACTATTCATAATAACTCCATTTTCTAACAGCTGTCAGTGCCTGTACCTAGGCTAATCTTCCAGAGAACTGATGTTTACTTGGTAGAATCCCAATGAAAACACCTAATTAATATGACTTATTCATTTACAAAGGCTGAGGATCAAGCGTAGGGTCTTGTGCATGCTAGGCGAGTGCTTTACTGTTGAATTGTATTCCTAATCCTCTAACTATTTTTATGGAAATCTTTCTAAAATTGATTATACATGTCTTTTATTTACAAAATATAAAAGACATGCCTTAATCATCTCTTATTTACAAAATATAAAAGACATGCCTTAATCAAAGACATGCCTGAAAATCAAGAAAACTAAAAGTTGTTTCTTTGACAAATCCACAAAATGGATCAGCCTTTCTCTACATTGTCTGGCCCCTCAGGTACCTAATCATTCAAGGGCCCTCAATGGCCTTGGTACTGGATGCTTTCCATCCTTAGAGTAGATGAAAGTTATGAATTCCTTAAAAGACATGAATGATGAAAACTCATCAAGAAGAAATAAAAAAATATATGAGTAGATCTGTAAAAGTAAAGAGATTGTATTAGGATTATTTTTTTTTCTCTAAAGCCCAAAGCCAGATATTTTCACTGATAAGTTCTATAAAATGTTTAAAGAATTAACACAGTGCTTCATGAACTTTTCTTAAATATTTCCCATCCCGGGAGGCCCCTTTTATCCTGATGTTGAACTAGAGAACTGCAGAGTAACATCCATTACTACTATGGATGCAAATCCCATTACAGGTACTTGCCATCTAAGGCCAGCACATGTTGTATTACACACCATGACCATGTGGGACTTAAGCTATGAGTATGACTGTTTCCACAGATTATCAGGAATAAGTATAATAAACTACAAATCCAGAATGTGGGCCTGGAAGCATTTGACAAAATCCAACTCTCTTTCATAAAAAAAAAACACTTGTAGGTTAAATTCATTTCTAAAATGATATATTCAAATTTAAATGCATGTGTATGTGACTTTATTTAGAAATAGAATCCTTGTGAATGCTGCTGGTTTAGAAAAAGTCATACTGGGGGAGTGGGCCCTTGATCTACTTGGCATCCTTAGAAGAAGAGGACAGGAGAGAGACAGAGCGACACACAGGGACAGGACAAAGACTAGAGGGATTTGTATTTCAGCCCAGGAATCATGAGGATAACCAGCAAGTAGAAGTTAAGAGAAGGACCTGGAGACTCTTTGCCAGCACCAGCAGATGCTTCATGGCCCTGTTGACCCTTTGGTTTTAGACTTCTAGATTCAGGAACTGTGAGAGAAGAGATTTCAATTGTTTTAAGCCATAATTTGTAGTACTTGTTTATAGCAGCCCTAGGAAAGGAGTGCAGACTAGAATAGATACTTTGGCAAAGGAGATAAGTGAATATCAAGAAGCACCTGAAAAGAGGCTCCTCATTATTAGCCATTAGGGAAATGTGAATCAGAACCACACTGAGAAGCCAGGCAGAACAGGTAGTTCATACCTGTAATCCAAGCTACTCAAGAGGCTCATGGTTCAAAGCCAGCCCAGGCACAAGAGTCCATGAGACTCTCCAAAGAACCAGCAAAAACTCAAAGTAGAGGTATGGATCAAGTGGTAGAGCTCCAGCCTTGAGTGAAAAAGGAAAAGGACAGTGCCCAGGCCCTGAGTCCAAGCCTTCGTATCAGCACATACACAAAAACACATTGAGATCCTAATTCCCACACTTTCAAGTGGCTGTCATTCAAAGCCAGGGCAAAGCAGGTGCTGGTGGACACATCAGAACACCTGTGTGTTTCTGGTGGGAATGGATAATATTGGGGTGGCAGTGTGGCCACCCCAATGGTAGAGCATTAGCCAATGAGTGAAAGTGGCAGGTATCCAGTTCAAGTCCTAGTCTTGGACCTAAAACTAAAAAAAGAAAAGGAATGTAAAATACTGCAGCACTGTGGAAAAATTTGGCAGCTCCTCAAAATGCTAAACACAGAGTTACCATATGATGCACTAATTCCACTTCTGGGAAATTACCCAAGAGAAACCAAAAACTTCTGTCTGCACAAAACCATGAATATGGATATTCATAGTACATATTCATAATAGACCTGAAATAGAGACCTTTTAAATGACTGTCAGTTGATGAGTGGGTTAAACATGTGATGTATTCATATAATAGATTATTATCAATAAAAAGAAATTACATACAATTCATGCTATACACAGATGAAATTTAAAAACATGCCTTCAAGAAACTAGCCACAGACAAGCACATATTCCAGATTAGTCAAATTTAAATGGACAAAATGCATGTTAGTAATAAAGATGCTGATGGCTCATACTTGTAATCCTATCTACTGAGGAGACTGAGATCTGAGGATTACAGTTCAAGCCAGCCCTGACAGGAAAGCCTATGAGACTTTTATCTCCAATTAACCACTGAAAAACCAGAAGTGGAGCCATGGCTTAAAGTGGGAGAGCACTAGCCTTGAGCACAAAAGCTCAGGGACAGTGCCCAGGCTCTGTGTTCAAGCCTCAAATTAAAAAAAGGAAGTAGGGCTGAGGATATAGCTCAATGGTAGAGTGCTTGCCCAACATGCACAAATCTCTAGTTTCAATTCCTGATAAAAAAAAAAAAGAGGACTTAGGGTATAGCTTAATAGTAGAAAGAATGGAGGAAAAGAAAAAAAGAAAGGAAGCGAGAAAAAGAACATCTGCACGTCACCATGTTGTGCATAGTATATCTTCACCTGCAGACTTTCTGCATCTTTTCCCAAAGCTCTATTATCAGCTGTCATTGGGGTCTTTATTTAAGACTAGAAACACATTCATAAATGACCCACAGACATGGCCCCTGGGGCCTGGCTCAGTCACAGAGTGGTAGGAGTCTACCTGGCAACTTCAGGGGTGGGGGTGGGGGGGGTCTGGTGGCTAGGGAGCCTGTCACATTGTCACTGCCTGACCACGCCTTGTCCTCTCTGGTTTCCTCTGCAGCACCGCCATTGTGTTTTATGTACAGAGTGGGCCACCTTTTAAAGTTCTCCCAGCCGCAGATGTGGCTCGAAATCTGCACAGGCGTCTTTCCAAGGAGAAGGCAGATTTCTTGCTTTTCAAGGTCTTGAGGATCGACACAGCAGGTCTGTCTTCTAAGGAATCTTCTCAAAGAAGCGGAGACTTGCCCATCGTGGGTATATTTTATAGGCTCAGAAAGAAGAGTGACAGGGGAGCATTTTTAAACTTTACCATCTGGGATCTTGTTGAGCTTTGATGTCTCCATAAGTTTGCTGCCACATACATGTACCACCTACTTGGTCTTGGCAGGAAACAGTAACTGGTCATGGTCAATTTTTTTTTCGAGATTTGAAAATATAAGTTTGAAATTTTAAGGTAGGTTACATCCTTCTAGTTTTCTCAGCTCCTGGCTAGCTGCACCTTAACTGGCCCAGAGTTCCATGGTCATGTGCACTCTCACGAGTCATGTTTTGTTGACAGTCATTTCACCAAGCACTATAAGGGAAAAGATAGTAAGCTGGGCAATGAAATTTCATTTATTTCAGATATATGTTCACTTGCAATTGACTTTCTCAGTTTTAATGGAGCAAATTAAATTTTTAGGTCACTTCTAGCTATAAAGGTAATACTGCTGGGAATGTGGCCTAGTGGTAGAGTGCTTGCCTAGCATGCCTGAAGCCCTGGGTTCGATTCTTCAGTATCACATAAACTGAAAAAGCTAAAAGTGGCACTGTGGCTCAAGTGGTAGAGTGCTAGCCTTGAGCAAAAGAAGCTCCAGGACAGTGCCCAGGCCCTGAGTTCAAGCCCCAAGACTAAAATAATAATAATAATACTTTACTTTCTGTAGGAAATTTGGACTATCTAGAAAGGCACAAGAGGAAAATAATCCTGTAGATTGTAGAATCATCCAAAGATAACTCTGGTTAATATTCTGATTCATTTCTTTCTAGTTACTCATCTGTAGGAAATATAAAGCAATCAGGATGATTTGATATATTGTTAATGTGCTTTTTAACTTCAAATCATATTATGATTATTTTTCTCAAAGCTTTTGAAGTTTCTTTTTTTGTGTGAAAATATTGTACAGAGGGGTTACAATTACACGGGCAAGATAATGAGTACATTTCTTATCAAGCATTGTAGCTTCCTCCTGTGTTTCCCCTTCCCATTCCTTCCCATCCTCTCCCCTCCCAACCCTCCTCCCCCCACTACCCTTTTGAAGTTTCTTTTCAGTGACTTTATGGCTGCATTGTATTCCTCCCAGGATATGTTCTGTAATTATACGATCACTCCTTTACTTGTGCTTTAAGATTGATTTTAAATGATGCTACAATGTAAATAAATCTTTGCTCACCTTTTCTAATTATTTTCACTGGACACACCCTTGGAATTTATTTTCTGAAGCCAGATGGTTCTATAAATTTGAGGTCCCCCCCCCCCGTACTGGGACTTGAACTCAAGACCTCATGCACTTACTTGACTTTTTCCCCTCAAGGCTAGGAAGTATACCACTTGATCCACAGCTCTACTTCTAGCTTTCTTCTGGTTAATTGGAGACACAAGTCTTACGGACTTTTCTAACCAGGCTGGCTTCAGACCCCAGTCCTTAGATCTCAGCCTCCTGAGATGCTTGGATAACAGGTGTGACCCACCAGATCCCAACTCATGCATCTAGTCAGGACCTTCTTTATGGAGGATTTGGAAGTGGGAACCAGAGCGTTTTCTCTGTGGTAACCTCAGTCTCACACATCTTTTCACAGGTTGCCTTCTTGAATGTTCTGGCCATGGTCACTGTGACCCCATCACAAAGCGCTGCATTTGCTCTCAGCTGTGGATGGAGAATCTTATTCAACGCTACATCTGGGATGGGGAGAGTAACTGTGGTGAGTTTGGGTGGCGGTTTGGGGCAAGGAGTTTCCAGGCAGCAGGCGCTTGCATATCCGACAGTGCCTGTCTGTGAACACTGAAGCCCTCTCTCACCACAAGTCCAATCGCGTGGTGTGGTGGGTTCAGCTCCTCTCCAATCAACCTTCGGGAGTGTGGTAAGTCAAACTTGCCAGCGAGGAAAATCCTTGTGCAGAGTGACGGTGCTTACAATTGTTGCTGTTTCACATGAAGAACTGATTGGGCTGCAAGGCACATTTGCAGATTGCCCCTGCCTTGCTTTATCTCATGGTGGTATGTCCCTGCTGTGAACCTGCAAGAATCAGACAAAGAAGAAACCTCATTCCACCTTCCAGGCTGCCTCCCCAGGCAGGTGCCAACCACTGCAGCCATGGTCTTGGCAGGCCACATTGCTGCCCTTAAGTCTCTTTTAGGGAAGACCACCACCACCACCACCACCACCAAACATATACCTTAATGTCAGAGGTAATCCAGGGGTAATCCAGGGGTAAACTTATCATCACGGGATCCAAATGGGCATAATTAGAAAAAATGCTAAGAGCCCACTGTCCCCGCATAATAGATGGTTGGTGCTGGTGGCTCATGCCTATAATCCTAGCTACTCAGAAGGTTGAGATTTGAGGATCACAGTTTGAAGCCAGCCCCAGCAGGAAAGTCCATGAGACTCTTATTTCCAATTAAACACTAAAACAATAGGCAGAAATGGAGCTATGGCTCAAGTAATAGGGCACTAGCCTTGAGCAAAAAGCTCAGCAACAGCACCCAGATCCTGAGTTCAAGCCCCACAAGCAACCAAAAAAAATAGTACATACAGGTTTGCAAACAGCCAGTCTTTGGGTCAGCATTGCAGGAATGTCTAATAGTATTGAACATTGTGTCTGCTCCATTGGCCTCTATGTTCCCAAGTTGCTGTGGCCAAGTTATTTTCACTTTTTGCAAGGATGTGGAAGGAAGGAATGAAGGGCAAAGCTGTTTCCCAGTTGCTCTCTGGCTCTGAAAAGAGTCTGCATACCACAGGGAGCCACACAGACACTTGATTTGTTTTATCACGACCACACAGGAACTGGCAAGTGTATGTGATTCACAGGATCTGGGATGAATATTTGATGTTCCCTATAGGCAGATGTGGGAGATAGTAACTCCTTAATGGATCCACTTCACTAATTTTAGAGTAGTGTCTAGTTAGCATGAAACCTGTGCTCTCATCACTTCTCAGCCTTTTGTCCCGAGTCAAGTGTGAGCTCTGTGCTCCATGAGCTCCCTGGACCAAATGGGTTACATGAAAACTGCCTAGGCTTGTTCTAGTCGCTCTATTATTGTTTGGCTGTGCTCTATTGCAGCCGGGTATGGTGGCTTCAACGCCACACATGGCCTTTGCTTGGATGGACACAGTAATATTCACTGTAACTTGTTTGCAAAGTCATTTTGGAAATGCTATAATAATTGAATTCTCTCTGCCTCTCTCATTCTTTTCATTTATTTACTATTTAGAGTGGAGCGTATTCTACGTGTCAGCACTGGCGCTCACTGTGATAGCGGGCACTGGGGGGCTGATGTGGCTTTGCATCTGTTGCTGTAAAAGGTACCTGCATGCTTATTTATCTGTGTGGAGGAAGCTCAAGTGCTGTTTGTGTGGGTTTGTTAAAGTGCTGAATGGTTCAATTGACTCTGTGTGTGTGTGTGTGTGTGTGTGTGTGTGTTTGTGTGTATATGCATCTTAGGACTTGAACTTGGGGCTGTCCCTGAACTTTTTTTTTTTTTTTTTTTTTGTCGGTTGTAGGGCCTGAACTCTGGGCCTGGGCACTTTCCCTCAGCTCTTCAGCTTAAGGCTAGCATTCTACCACTTGAGCCCCAGCGCCACTTCCAGGTTTTTCTGCTTATGTGGTGCTGAGAAATCAAACCCAGGGCCTCATGCATGCAAGCCAAGCACTCTACCACTGAGTCACCTTCCCAGCCCTGTCCCTGAACTTTTTTATTTAAAGCTGGCATTCTACCACTTGAGCCATAGCTCTACTTTGGTTTTTTGGTGGTTAGAGAGAAGAGTCTCACACACTTCGTTGCCTGAGCTGCCTACAAACTGCAATTCTCATGTCTCAGCCTCCTAAGTAGCTAGGTTACAGGCATAAGCCTCTGGTACTGAGCTTTCCATATATTTTAAAATCCTGGATACCAATTGCCACTCTTTGAATCCGAGTTGAATAATTTGTTGTTTCTTTCAGACGGAAAAGGACTAAAATAAAGAAGAAAACAAAGTACACCATCCTAGACGACATGGATGAACAGGAAAGAATGGAACTGAGGCCCAAATACGGTAGGATAGTCTCCAAGACAATTTCCTGCTGCTTCAAAATCCTTTAACCCAGGTATTGGTCTGAGAGTTAAGTCAGGCAAAAGGAAGAATAAGCTGAAGTTAGTGCTTGAATTAGAAGGAAGAGTGAGGCTGCCAATCTGTGATTTCTTTATTTTCATTTTTTTAGTGTGTATTAATTATACAAACAAGACTCACTAAGGTGAGAGGCACTTTTCATGTGCTTGTATTATAATTTAGTCAAATTAATCTCATCTGCTGCCTTCCCTCAGTCTTGCTTTTCATCCCATTGCTCCACAGTTTTCATCTGCTGACTTCATGCTTCGAGCCATACGTGTCAATATTATTCTGCATCCTCCTCTTTCCCTCTCCCACTGTGAGTGTGAGACTAGGAATCTGTGATGTCACTCCTGAGAACAGGCTGGCTCTGTGTGTGTGTGTGTGTGTGTGTGTGTGTGTGTGTGTGTGATTGCATTAGCAGCTAAAGATGATTGGTTTAATGAAATTTTGGTCAATAGATGGACTAATAGATGAGGGATGGAAAGTCTATTGTCAGTTGAGCCCCTGCCCTATGACTTGGGGGACAGGGACCACTTTTCCATTAATGGTCCTCAGTGCCAGGCCCTCTGCCTTCTCTATGGCTAAAGGTAGAGCTCAAGCTCAGGTGTAGCAGCAAAGCCCTTGAGATTGCTTACAGGGAGCCTCATGCACCTGCTGTGCTGTGGGCAGCTGCTCTGATGGTGTGGAGAGCTCAACTCTGCAATGCCTGCAGGTCCCCACGTGACCTGTGACTGGACTGCCAGAGCTGAAATGGAAGATGGACTTTCTCCTAAGATGCCCCACCTGCCTCTCTCTCTAGGTATTAAGCGCCGAAGCACAGAGCACAACTCCAGCTTGATGGTGTCTGAGTCTGAGCTTGACAGTGACCAGGACACAATCTTTAGCCGAGATAGGATGGACAGAGGGAACCCGAATGTTTCCATGAATGGCTCCATCAGGAATGGAGCTTCCTTCAGTTATTGCTCCAAGGACAGATAAGGGAGCAGTTGGGGAGTGGAAGGACCCACTGGAATCCACAACTCCAGGACGAGTCCCGGGGAGTTTAACTACAAAAGCCACTCTCGTTAGCATATGTTCCAGCTACCTTCCACAGTGGGCTGGATGCGTCTCCACATAAAGACGTGACTTCTTGGAGACACAAAACCAAACCAAAACACAACGCTTGTAGCTGGGAGGCTTCTGGATAGGAATAACAGCTGCATAGTGTGTCTGTAGGGGGCGCTATATTATAATGACCAAACTATCCCCAGACACTTAGGGAAAGTTGAAGGCTTTCAGGAGGGCTGATGTCTCTCTCCTGTGATTGTTTTTGAGTACAATCGTCAAATGTGGTTTCTCTGGTAAGATCTGCCAAGTCAGAATGAGGCATGAGCTCTCTCTGGGCAGGGAGCTCTATGGTCTGTGCGTGACACCCCCATAGGGCATCCCCTCCACCCACCGAGTTTCACAACTTTGCTATGATCAGTGCCACCCATGCTTTCTGAAAAGCAGCTGGTGGAAGTTCATGAGCTACTAGAGAATTGTGTTCCAAGGCCAGGAGGCAACAGAAATGATGTGTAAGGTTGAACGTTGTAGACAGCATTGAACATTCTTTAATCATTGTTTTTCTAAGAAACAAACCAACATCACAAGAAAAAAACAACAACACAAAAAACCTCACGGAGGCCTCTCTCAGCCCCATTTTACATTAACCACAGTAAAAAGTGACTGAGCAACTCTGTATATATCCCAACTTCAGAAATAGTCTAAAAGAAGATGGAATGGCCCTGATGCTCTGACCTGCTACAAGTACTTCCACAATTTGCGGACATAACGTATTCAGTTCATACATTTAAAAAGAAGATGTTTATTGAATGGTTTGTCTACCACATCTCACTTTACTCATATAAAAAAATTAAACCATTTCCTCCCACAAAGAAACACCCTAGAGCAATTAACTGGAGTTCTTCCTAACCTGACAGGATTGGGTTCTGGGAGTCCTACCCACAGTCCTGCTGGAGCAGGAGAGAGACAATTAGTGTTATATCAATGTGGCCACACCTAAGCAGCAGGCTATTGCTCAGTGCTCTTGTAGCTTGTGGCACAAGCAAGGGGTTCTCTGTTGATGGAGCTGAGAGCAAAGCAATTTAACCACGGGGATAGGAGGTTCCAGAGCAAACATTTCCTTTAGGCCCTTAGCAAAACTCAACTTTCAAGCATATTTGTCATCTCTTGAAATGTTCATCCTCATGGGGCCATCTTGTTCTTCATTATCATCAACCCCTTCCTGGATAGTACCTAGCACCATAGATGCTATATTTTTCTCCTCTATATTACATAACAAGTATAATTATACATTTTTCTATCTGAATTAAGCACTTACTACAGACTTTGCTTGCCACTTTTGTAGTTTGAAGTGTGACTGAAAACCAGCATATATTTCCCTTCCCTTTACAATTTTTGTGGGTTTTGTTTATATTAGAGTTTTCAGCAAACTCAGCATGTGATTTTTTTTTTCTTCCCATATCAAGTCAAGAACTTTTTACCCTTTCACTTAAAAGAAGTATTTTATGGCTTGGGTATGGCATGTCCAAGTTGCCAGTATCACTACCTTGTACTTTGGGACCATGGGTAAATAAAATAAAGGATTTTTGAATTCAGCACTGCACTGCTGCTAACTGAGTTGGCCTTGAGTAAGTGACTGGTGGCCGGTAGCATATACAGTGTGGATATAGTGGACAAAGGGATAATTCAGGTGGATGGAGGAGGACAGCATGACTGAAAACTTACCAATTATGTAGTTCTATAATTTTCCATTCAATGTTTCTAGACCGCAGTTGATTACAGATTTTAAAAAAAACTCAGAAAGTGAAACCAGAGTATGAATGGACCACTATATTATACTTCACTGGAGAATGGTGGAATAAAATGTATTCTGCGTATGCCTGGACTTGCTGTATCACTGGCTAACTTATCCTAGCTCAAATGTTAATGTAATTAACATTATAATCAACTGCTGTGTATTTTTGATATTTTGAATATTTGTATCTCACTTTATAAGTTTAGAGTATGCCCTACATGGTGATCAAGGTTATTGTATTTTTATGTGTAAGTGGAATTTTTTGGCATAGAGAATAGAATGCCAAATGTAAAGTTAGAGCAAGGTGGTAAAGAAGAGAGTGAACATTCATCACTTTATGTGTAGAGTATATACTTTTCACATACATACTCCGTGAATTTACAATCAACCTGGAAAAGGAGATATTATTCTCATGTTGCTGATACCCTTAGAAGGTCTAGAGGGTGTAAGTATCTTGCCCAAGCCCATAGTCAATAAGTAGTGTGTCAGGGAATTAAATGTAAAGTCTTACTTCAACTGCACTGAGAACTGCCCCTTACAAAGGAGGAGGCTACAATGCTTGATAAGAAATGTACTCATTATCTTGCCCATGTAATTGTAACCCCTCTGTACAGTATTTTCACACACAAAAAAAGAACTGCCCCTTAAAGGGAAAGTTATGGTAGACTCTGTGTGTGTGTGTGTGTGTGTTTGTGTGTGTGTGTGTGTGTGCGTTAATATTTGAACTCAGAGTCTGGGCACTGTGTCTTAGTTTTTCTCCTCAAGGCTGGTGCTCCACCTCTTGAACCACAGCTCCGCTTCTGATGTTTAGCTTGTTGATTAGACATAAGAATCTCACAGATTCTGAACCTTGATCCTTCTATCTTAGCCTCCTGAGTAGCTAGGATTACAGGCACCAGCCCTTCTAATCTATCTAAGAGTAAAGGAAGATGGGAGGCATCACCTGCTTCATATCTCTTCTTGTTTCACATGCTGGGCCACTTCCACTCTTAAATTTGCAATGTGCTACTTCTGCCCCCTTCTTCTGTCCCTAGCCATTTCAGCTGTTCCCTATGATCCTGCCACCCCAGAAGGATTTTCAATCTGGTGAATCAGAAATAAGCATTATAGTAGTAGTCAGAACCTGGGTCCCCTTGTTATCCTGCTCCTCATCAGAGGAGCATTCTCCCTTATGTACTGCTTACCTTTCAGGGGTTTTGGGAGGTAAAGCACTCTTAAGAGCCTTGGATAAATGGAAGAAAATGTGGCGAGAATGCAAGAGAACTCTTAGAGGGCTTGAGGGCTAACAAACACTGTTTGCTGGTTTTGATTCCATGACAGAGAATACAAGCCACAGCATTAACAGGCTAAGCGTGTTCATAACTTAGGAACCCCCTTTAAAATGGCAGTCATGTGTAAGCGGATGTATCACTCAACAAGCCAATGATGCTGTCACGGAGTGCTGGGAGGAGGAAGGACACTGTGATCAAGCTGCCATGGACTAGAAAATCCTGGTTTTAGTTTTTAAATATATTATTTTCCCATGTGTTTACCAGGTGCCTCTTCCAATGTAACACTATTAAATATACATATATACATACATATATATATATATATACACTAATCTAAATAAAGGCTTCTGTATTTCCCATAATACATTATGTGTGTGTTGTGTATGTATATATAGCAGTGTATACATAGCAGAATATCTATCTATCCATCTGTCTGTCTGTCTGTCTGTCTGTCTGTCTATCTATTTATCTATATCTCAGAATAGAAGCCAGGGCCTTCCAAATGCTAGAAAAGTGCACTGATCTATGACCCAGCCTCTGTTTTCTTTAGGTTCCCATTCAGAGGGATATCCCTTAAGTATAGCCAGTAAGCTGTCACCTGCAATCTGTTTTCAGATGCCCCCTATCCAGAAGATGAGTTTTATGTTTTCAAATGGTTGAAAAAAATTAAAGTATTTCATGTCACATGGATTGTGTGAAATTCATATTTGTGTCCATTAATAAAGTTTTATTGGACAGTCAGCATTCATTCATTTGTATGTTACCTGCTGGCATGTTACAACCCTAGCCCTTCCCTGCAGCCTCTCTACTAGGAGGCAAAGGAACTTTCATCTGCCACAAGATTCAGCTGTGATATTCTGCCTCCAGACTCAGACCCAACTGCAAGATTGAGACCTCAAAAAATGTGTCAAATAGAACCATTCTCCTTAGAAATGGATTCTTTCAGGTGTTTTGCCATAGAACAAAAAGCTGATGAACACACTTGTCATGGCTAAAATGACAGGAATCAAGGACAAACTTGATCAGTTTTATGAATGGAATTGTGTTTCTTCAAACTTCCTAACCTCAGTATTCCAGAATGTGACTGCATTTGGACTCTTTTTTTTTTTTTTTTTGGGTCCGGTTGTGGGGCCTGAACTCTGGGCCTGGGCACTGTCCCACAGCTCTTCAGCTCAAGGCTAGCACTCTACCACTTGAGCCACAGCGCCACTTCCAGCTTTTTTCTTTTTGCTTATGTGGTGCTGAGGAATCGAACCCAGGGCCTCATGCATGCAAGGCAAGCGCTCATACCACTGAGCCACCTTCACAGCCCCTGTGACTGCATTTGGAGATGAAGTGTTTAAGGCGGCAATCAAGTTACAAACAAGGTGCTCACAGTAGGCTCTAATCCAGTCTTAACTGATCATAAGAAGAGGCCCACAAAGGGCATACATTCAGAGGCAAGATCTCGTGAGGACAGGAGAGGAAGGGGCACCTGGAAGGCTGTGAGTGAGGCCAAGGTGGGAACTTTGAGGTGATTTGTCCTTTGTCTTCAAGGGCAGCCTTGTCCACGTGGGCCTTCAGTAGATAGATGAGTTAAGGTAGCAGTGTGTTTGCTATATAAGCCAGTTTGGCTATGTCTTGCCGTGTGATGCTTTATGCTAACCAGAACCTCTGCCAGCCAGGAGGCCCTCACCAAATGCAGCCCCTTCACCTTGGACCAGAAATGTGAACCATATAACTTCATTTGTGTAGCTTAGTAAAATGGCAGTATTATTAGCATAAAAAATTGAACAATGATGTGGGTTAAAATGATATAGTGATTTTCTCTATGTATCGATGATGCAGAATTTTTTTTCTCAGGCTTTTCTGTAAAAACAAGCCCCAAAGAAACCTTCAAAGAGTGTATAGAAGACAAATGGGGGAATTTGAGATAGCTGGACAATATCCCTTTCTTGGGCAGCCTAGTTTGCAGGGAAATTCTCAGTTGAGTTCAACAAACTATGAATTGATTCTTTTGAGTGCTGGAGCTTAAACTCAGGGCCTCACTTTTTTGCTCACTTCTGGCAGGCTTCCATTTGAGCCACACCTCCACTTCTGGATTTTTGCTGATTAACTGGAGATAAGTCTCTCAGATTTGTCTGCCTGGGCCTGGATGGGAACCTCAACCCTTGGATTTTTGTGATCTTGAAGAGCTGGGATTACAGGTATAAGCCATCTGCACCAGGCCAGTTCAGCAAACATGAGTATCAAGCATGGGATGGAGCCTCTTTCAAGTGCTGGTGTGAATTATTTCTCATTCTAGCTCTCAGCCTGTTGGTGCTCTCAGCCAGCTGAGCAGATCCCTGCTCAGGCAACTTTATTTTGTCAGTCATGGAGCTTGAACTCACCTGGAGCTGACCTATCCCTGAGCTCTTTTATTCAAGGCTACTGCTCTAACCACTTTCAGCTCCACAACTCCACTTCTGATTCTCTGGTGGTTAACTGAAGATAAGAGTCCACAGATTTTCCTGCCCAGGCTGGCTTTGAACCATGATCCTCAGATCTCACCCTCCTGAGTAGCTAGGATTATAGGTGTGAGACACCAGCACCTGGCAGGAACTTTATTTTACTCCCATCCTTACTGGTTGAATGCTGTCTAGTAAAAGCCCAAATGGCCACCTGGTAGGAAAAGCAACATCTTAACACAAATAGGGAGTTCTGTTAATTTGCCATTTATTAATACCATACATTACTCCAACTAGACACACCCTGTTAAAAACTAGAACAATGAGTTCTGTGCACATGTTTAAAAAGCAAACTGTGTTCACATTTCTCACTAATTTTCAAGTTTTATCCCGTAAGGTAGAGCACGAAACAATCACAGTCAAAGTATTATTCAAGTAAAATGCTATTTACCATAGCTGTGCACTGGGGAATTGAAACAGTGGGGTCCCAGGGAAAAGTCCTGTGGCACAATTTGAAGGTCCTCTTATCAGTTTATGATAAAGTAGGGTTGTTTACATTCTGCTTCTGGTCTTTATTTTCATGCAAAAATAATTTAATCCAGGAAGAGAAGACACAAACATATATTAAAATCAGATCTTAAGTCCCTCAAATGAATAAAAACACTGGTAGAAAGAGACCAGCTCTTTAAATGATGATGCTTCAGGACCAAAGGAAGTGAACTGAGAAGTGTTTTATCAAGGCCAGCAGACCCTTGTTATCTGGATAATTCCATCTGCATTATGTGATGGTCACTGGGAAGTTTCTGTGAGAACGTGCCATAGCAGTGGCCAGAAAAGTGCAGGGCACCCAGGAGGTGTTCCCTAACATCAATAATGTCCCATACACCTGGGAAGGTCCACAGCACCTGCTTGGTCTTAATCAGGGTCTGTCAACTTTTTTCTTTGTTTCCTTGAGCTATACTGGAGTTTGAATTCAAAACCTTGTGCTTTTTTTTTTTTTTAAGCCTTGTGCTTGGTAGCCAAGCCCTGAGCCTTTCCAAAAAAAAAAATGTTACTTTTTAAGCAAGGGTCTCACTTTTGCCTGAGCTCGAATGATCTTCCTACCTGTGCCTCCTGCAAGTCAGGATTAAAAATGAGACCCATCACGTCATGCTTGTTGAGATGGGGACTTGCTAAATTCTTCCCAAATCATAAGCTTCCCAATCTTGATTTCACAAGTAGCAGGGATACAGGAATGAGCCGGTAATCCCCAAGTTTTTCTGTAAGGAACTACACAGTAAATGGTTTCAGTTTTACAGGCCATATTGTCTTGCTACAACAATTCAACTCTGTCAGGCAAGCAGGCACAGACCATTCCATAAATGGACGAGTATGGCTGTATTCCAATACAGTTTTATTTATGGACATTGAAATCTGAATTTCACATACTTTCATATGTCACAAAACAATTCTTTTCTTTATAGTTTTCCTCTACCCACATGAAAATATAAAAAATATTTTTAGCTCATGTGTTATACAAAAACAGGTGGCAGGTCAGATTTGGCTTGTGGGGTATGGTTTGCCCCCATTTTATTTCGCGTTCACATATATGTGTGTGTGTTGTATATTGTGTGTTTAATCTCATGTATCGTAAATAGTTACTTTACTAAAACAATAACAACAATGCTCATTCAAAAACACTTTTAGCTTGGTTTTATGGCACAAGCCTATAGTCCCAGCTTTTTGGGAGGCTAGGATAGGAGGATCACTGGAGCCCACAAGTTCAAAGCCAACCTGAGAAACATAGCAAGTTCCCATTGCAAAACAAAATAATAAAAATAAAAACGCTTCTTTTTTCCTACAACCCAGAACCATTTTAGTAAATAATAAGCTATTTTTTTTTTAAATCTTGATTTTCAATTTTTTTCAGAGGTGCTGGGGCTAAGTCCAGGCCTTACCACTGAATCACAATCCCAGCTGCCTTAAATTATTTAAATTATGAAATTGAGTTCAGCTATTGATATTATAATGAATCTCTGGCCCTCAGTTTATGTACCCAGTAAGCTAAATATGCAAGAAAACTAAAAAACTGTGCAAGGATTTTCTTTTTCTAAAAAATAACACGGGCACACTTCTATTCTTAATTGAGAAAAGATACACACAAATTGTAAGCAATTAGAATAGCAAGGAAAACCACTTAAAAATTCAGAGATGGATACAGAGTAGAAATGAACTGTCCGCATGCTGTGTAGGTGACTCTCCCGAGGTCCTGGGCAGTGTCTCTGGGAGGCAGATTGCTGCTTTCGCTTCTCCTCTGAGCTGTTCTGGCCAGTAGGTGCAGGTTTGGAGACAACCCTGTGTACACAGGGTTACCTATGCTACATAGTCATTGGCTCAGTAAGGGTGCTGAGGACTGGGGGAGTTCAGGAATAACTGCAATTGGTAGTGCTTCCCTTGAGTTTCCCTCCCCCACCCCGAGAATCCATAGGAAGTGGCTCAAGCCACAGAGGGGAGGGGAAGAAAGGGGAGAGAGGGAAGGGGTGTGATCACTGGCCTCTTACGTAGATATGAGGCTTGTCTAGAATTTTCCTAGTTGAAGTTTTTAGAGAAAGAGACAATTATGGCAAGTTTTCTTCCTTAGTTTGAGATTATGGTGGTGAAAGTGGTTTGTGCGTTTGGGAGTGAGGATGTACGACAGCTAGACAGAAAAACTTGCTCAGACTCTGGCTGGTGGGCAAGTGGACCCTGGCCTCCCTTGCTGTGGCAGAGCTACTGTTAGCACTCAGGTGGGAGCTGCACGGTGAGCTCAGGATAAAAATCCCTCCACCCTTGTACTTACTTGAATTCCACTCTTTGGGGAAGTGCTTTCTCTCACTGTCTCTCAGGCTCACAGTGTGCAAGGAAGGCCCAGCTGCAATCTCCGTGCTACACTGCTACACTAGGTGTGGGCAGGGAGAGTGGAATTGCATGAACCAGGGGACAAAGCTGCTGAGCGCAGGTGCTCCTGAGATCACAAGCCTTCCCCACAGCCTGTTCTCATCTAAAGGAAACAAAATGAGGCTTCAGCAGGTGAACTGAGGACAGTGAAGATTTCAACTTCAAAAGCAGCCCCGAAAGAAGGAGATATGCTCCTTCATTGTGCACAGAAAGGCAATTCTGTGTAGTTTCGAAGGCCTTAAAACAAAGAAAATGAACTCAGTCTCTGTTCCAACACCTCCAATATGTAGTATGTATTTTCGGTGCTGAGCCGACAGACAGCCAGGGAGGGCCCATCATCTCCAGTGTTCTGGGCCTGAGTTCCAGCCAGGGAATGACCAGGCAGTGATCAGGCCTTTGTGATGGGCCTGGGGTCTTGTGTGCCTCACACTGCACCCTGTTCTGAGGCAGCCACAGTTGTGCTAGGGTCCCAGGCCTTCTCTGTAAATCCAGTGTTAGCTCTCCTGGGGTCTACAGTCATGGGTGTGTGGCATGGATTGGTCCCTAGTTATGGAAGGAGGAGGCAGGCTTTAAGATGGCAAGGACTGGCTGAGCTGATGACAAGTTCCTACTCCCTAGAACCTAATAGTTTCTTGTCTTTTTTTTTTAAATGATGGATGGCTTGTCCCAATATGTGTTGGTAAGCTTCCTTGTGAAGTTTTCAAGACACGAGGGCTCCTACACGCTTCCATAACACACATACTTGACTTCCAGATACTCATCGATGCCATACTTGGAACCCTCTCGCCCCAGGCCAGACTGCTTTACTCCTCCGAAAGGGCACTCCACTGAGGAAATCATGCCTTCGTTAACACCCACCATACCGACCTCCAGCTGCTCTGCCACTCTCCAGATCTGGGCTGGATCTTGTGAGTAAAAGTAACCTGGCATGGAGATAAAAGGAATACATGCAATGCCTGGAATCCTAGCCGCTCAGGAGGCTAAGAACTAAGCATTGTGGTTCAAAGCTGGCCCAGGCAGGAACGTCTGTCACACTCTTCTCAATGAACTACTCAGAAAAAGCCGGAAATGACACTACGGTAGAGTGCTACCCTTGAGTAAAAAGAAGCTGAGGAACAGCACACCAGGCCTTGAGTTCAAGCTCCAGGACTGGCAAAAACAAACAAAACCCCAAAAAGGAACACATGCCACATGGAAGACTGATTGGAGACACTAAACCTGAAACAAAGAATGCCACTGGCCACTATTTGTCTAGTTAGTCATGAGAGTCTGGAACCTTCCTGCTCCCAACTAAAGCCTAAGGTGGTCCTGTCCACTTCTTTATCCTTAGACTCTTGGAGATCATCTTTTACTCATGCTCTTTTCTTGCTAGGGCTCCCCTCTCCTCCTCTTCAACCCATCCTGCAGTAGATATTTTTGCCCAGACCTTTAGTTGAGTCCTCATTTTCTATGAATTGGGCTAAATTCCTTAGTAGAGTATCAAACCTTCTTTAGTATGGTTTTGATCAGCTTTACCATCTTCTAATCTTCAACCATCATCACCAGACTGCCTAGCCCTAGTTCTCTCCCTTTTGTATTTAGCTTCTGATTTCTCTCTTGGTCACCTTTGGCCAGAGCCTCTCCTTCAATCTCTGCAGAAATTGCTTGAGACCATGAGTAAGTGCTGCTGCTGAAGGAGGACCATCACCTACCTGCTAACCCAACGTCAGTTGCATTGGCAATTGCAATGGCCTCTTCCTCTGTGTCAAACCTGCCAATATTAAAATAGGACGTGAGCAAAATCTGGAAAGAGATGAGTATAGAAAACTAGCTCAGTTCCTCCTGACTTGTTTCCCAAATAAAGACAAGAAGCAGTGTTTGGCAAGGACAGCCAAGGACAGAGTAAAAGAAAACAGCAGTAATCCCTGAGAGCCTCAGTGTTCACAATGGGCATTCAAAGCCACACTGGCCTCATCTGTTCTAAGTGAACAAGGTAAAAGCAAGCCAGCATGCAGGGAGCCTGGGCTCAGCAGGCCATCAGACATCCTGCAAGAAAACACTTGGTGCCTCCTAAGAATACACAGCAATCCTGGCAACCCGGAATCTGTGGGGGTCCAGCAGTTTCTAAAAGGGGCTCCACCACTTTCTAGCACTGAGTGGCTTCAGGGTGCCAGATGTCCATTCCTCTCTGACATTAAGGCACTATACAGAGCCCTCTGTGGTCCCTTCCGGCTTCATAACTTTATTTCAGGAACAAGATTTGAGTGGTGTTTTTCTGTCATTCTAGAATTTTAACTGGGGCACAGTTTAGAAATTTAGAAATCTGCCAGCAGGAGGAGCCAGCTGTCCCTGCACAGCTTCCAGAGGGGGCTGGGCAGAGCTGGCACAGGATGTTAACTTGCCCAAAAGAACACAAGAATGGAGGAGCAAAGCCTGAATGACACCCACGTCAACTAACTCCACAGCTGACATTCAGCGTCCAAAGGACGCTTTTTGTTAAAAGAAGACAAACATTCTTCAAGTGGTGCATTCTCCCACCACAGGAATAATACATAAAAGTAATACATAAAAGTAATGCATAATACAGGCTGCTAACAAGGTTCCTGATCCTGAACAGAAGGCCACATAACAGTACCAGTGCACCCTGTGAAACCAATGCTAGAGACTCCAGAGGAGAGAAGAGGAGAACACACACAAACTAATCAGTCACTGATGCTGACAATGCCAGATGTTCTGGAGGCCAATAAAGTGACTGGGTCTTACAGGGAGTGAGCTCATGGGAGAGAGCTGGGGGCTGCAGGTATGCATAGTAGGCAGGGTGGGAGGACTGTGGGGGACTGCACCTTTCACTCCACCTGGGGATCTAGACACCTGGATGCATGCTATGCAGCAGCAGGGGGCCCAACCAGTGCCTGAGCCCCACAAAACAAGCATGGACAGAGGCAGGAGGAAGCAGCCTCTTTACCCAGCCTGTTGCAAGAGAGAGAAGTGCTTTCCTGGGATTGAAGGAAAGCTACTTGGGGCAAGTCAAGTGGAAGTTGAGGCTGGATTTTAATACTCATGATCCTCTCTCTCCCTGAGACTCAGTCCTTTGCCTTCTCCAAACATACCAAAAAGAACACAAATGGAGAGTTGAGCTTTGCTTTTAGCATAATCTTATATCACATATGACAAGCCAAGACTGCTGTTGGTTCAAGGGATGAAAGATGAGCTCCCAAAGAAAAATGACAAGACATCAACAGAGCTAGAAGAGCAAGGACAATAATCAATAGCACAATGGAACAGTATGAAGAGAGTGAAAATGACACATCTCCACAGCGGGGTCAGAGAGGATAATGAAACAGGAAATGTCGGTTATGGGGAAGAACCAACTGGAACCATCAAGGGTGCAAAAAAATAGTTGTGGAGTTAAAGAAGTGGGTAGCTGGGTTGTGTGTGTGGAGAATGGAAATGAATAAGGTGGCAGGTGGATGGGAAAAACTTGGAGAAGCCCCCAGCATGAGTACAGAGATGGGTGGACGGAGGCGTTAAGGAGGACTGGGTGTGGACAGAGGTGTTAAGGAGGACTGGGTGTGGAAGTGTCACTTGTAATGGGGTAGAAAATAATGTATGGAAGGAAGGGACATATTTAGAGAAAGAAGTAGCAGGAGTTTCCAGGACTGAAGAAACACATTCAGTATTTAAAGAAAGATATGAAGGATCCCACACTGGACAAGCTCCCAGCCTGCTATACCAGAATGATTATAGTAAAATGTAAGAGTGTCAAAGACCAGGGGAAATTCTAAAAATCCCTGAGAGAAAAAGTTGATTTTTTTTTTCACATAAGTACCAGACAACTGGGGCTGGGAAGGTGGCTCAGTGGTAGAGTGCTTGCCTTGCATGCCTGAGGCCCTGGGTTTGATTCCTCAGCACCACATAAGCAAAAAGAAAAAAGCTGGAAGTGGCGCTGTGGCTCAAGTAGTAGAGCGCTAGCCTTGAGCTGAAGAGCTGAGGGACAGTGCCCAGGCCCAGAGTTCAGGCCCCACGACCGGACCTCCCCACCCCCCCAAAAAAAGAACCAGACAACAGATTTCTCAGCAATAACCTGGGATATAAGTAGATAAAGAAATAGTATTTGCAGACTACTGGACCTGGAATTTTTATCTAAGCAAATTATTTACTTGTGAATGTGCGATGAAAAGATCATAAAAGATTACAAACACTTCATTTCCTCTGCATGTCCACAAACATGTACTGCATAAAAAAAGAAAAGTCCAGCAGAAAGGAAGAAGAAAAAGAACTGGAGTAATTCTGTGGTCTATGCTGAGGGTAGCACATGCCTTGTAATACCAGAACATGGGAGGCTGAGGCAGGATTGTAAGTTTGAGGCCCGTTTGGGATATATACAGTCATACCCTATCTCACAAAACACCAAGTCAACCAAACAAAAATAATCATAAACTGAACTCTACCCTTCAGTGGCTTGGCCCCGCTCCCTCGCTGCCCCTCCCTTCCCACTCAGCCCTCCAAGTAGCACAGCTGTCTCTCCTTAAGTCTGCTTTTCTTTCTCCTGTCTTCCCGCTGCTGTGAGAGCTTACTTGATAACTGGTGCCAGAGGTCCAAACGTCTCTTCACGAGAACAAAGCATGTCCTTGGTGACATTGCTGAGCAGCGTGGGCTCAAAGAAATTTCTTCCGTACTGGTGCCGCTTCCCGCCTGTCACAATGGTCGCCCCTTTAGAAACAGCGTCACTCACGTGTTTCTCTACCTGCATGATAAGAAGAACCTGGGAAGGTTGGCTGAGGACACTTTCCAATGGGGCACACTGTTAGCGTGTTTAAACCACAGGAGACGAATTGGGTTTCTTTCTTGCTCTTTTTAAAATGGGCTAAAAATGAGCCACCCTGATTCCTTAGGGATGACAATGGGTAATGGGAAGGAATACGGTGGGTAGCCATCTTTTTGTCCCTGCCCTCTGATTTCCTGACTGACTGTGGTCTAACACATACGGATTTTTTTCTGGGCCTGCAGCCCACACAGCTGTTTTCCTGAGCTTCACTTGCACTGCACTCTGGGAAGTTCTAGTGTCTTGGGTGCCCTGTCGGCCCTTTCCTGAGCTGCATTTGCGCGTGTTCTGATTCACTCTTCTCAAGTAGTCACCCATTGCTCAACAACAGACATGCATCCTGTCCCCAAATATGTGTCTTTATCTGATTTTGCCTGGCTATGTTTTATCTTTTATTCCACCTGATTGATAGTTTAACTGGTCATTGAATTTTGACTCAAAATAATTTTCTTCACAATTTAAGTGCACTTCTGATATTGTGAATGAAAAATCTGGTTCAGATACACAGCTTGCTTCTTTTGTGAGACAACTTCATTCCCTAACCTGGGAGTTCATAGGATCTTTGTTTATATCCTGATAGTTAAGTTTTTGATAAAATATATGTTTTTCTTTTCATTAGTTGAACTTGGTCAATAGTGAAATCTTTTTATCTGAAGAATTAAAGAACTAAGAATGTAATTTTTCTCCCCATTTTCTCAATCTCTTATTCTTTTTCCCCCAGGGCCTTGAATTTGCAAGGCTGGTGCTCTACCACTTGAGCCATATCCCAGTCTTTCCCTTTAGTGGTTATTTTAGAGATGACGTCTAGTTCTGCAAGCCTGGGCTAGGAAGGTGGCTCCGTGTTAGAATACTTGTCTTGCATGCATGAGGCCCTGGGTTCGATTCCTCAGCACCACATAGCAGAAAAGGCCAGATGTGGTGCTGTGGCTCAAGTGGTAGAGCGCTAGCCTTGAGCTGAAGAGCTTAGGGACAGTGCCCAGGCCCAGAGTTCAGGCCCCACAACTGACAGAAAAATAAAGCAAAACAACAACAAACAAACAAACAAAAAACCTGTAAGCCTTTGGATCTTTGTCTCCTGGGTAGCTAGGATTATAGATATAAGCCACCAGTACCTGACTTTAATATTCTTATTCTAACTTCTTTTACACCTCAGATTAACTCTCCTTTAAAAAAATAATAATATTCTTTATCTTGTCCTTTAAATTCGGTCAGATCTCTCCAATATTAACTTCTACCTTTAGCTGCTGCATACTTTGTCAGGCATGTGTTCAAGTTCTACAGACACTTGCTGTCCTTGCTTCACTTTCATAGAACTGATTTCTTATTTTATGGATGTGTATTTTTCTTAAAACTCCTGCAAGACATCATTACCTTCTTAGAAAATTCCCTCCTGTTGCCCGGTCTGCCTACTGCTTTCAAGTCTGTTCTGTCTGTTCTGGCTGGCCCTTTCTCTTAGGTGCTCATGGTGTTCACACAGGCACCAGCGCCGTAGGCTGCTGATCCTTCTGAACCAAGGACTGGGTTGGAAGACACAGGGAAGCAGCATGGGTGGTTTCTGTTATTTCCATTCTCTCCCTCAAGGTAGGTTTTAACTCAGTCAGCCTTCTCTAGACAGGCAAGCATCCTGGGCTTGTACCAAGGTCCAATGTCACCTCTAAGATGCAGATAGTACTGACATAAACTTTAATAACTTTCTCTGTGTTGAGTAATTTCCAAGCAATTGCTAGAGTTTTTTTTCTTTTCTTTTTTCTTTCCTCTCTCTTTTTCTTTCTCTTTCTCTCTCTCTCTCTTTCGGTGCTAAAATTGGGGCTTGAACTTAGTGCCTAGGCACTATCCCTTACTTTTTTTGCTCAAGGCTGGTGCTCTATCACTTGAGCCACAGCTCCATTTACAGCTTTTTATTGGTTAACTGGAGATAAGAATCTCACGGATTCTTCTGTTTGGGCTGGCTTTGAACTGCAGTCCTCAGATCTCAGCCTTCTGAGTAGGCAGGATTACTAGCCCATGATGAGAAATTTACCAGACCTCTCTGTCAACTTCAGTGCTTCCTTAGGGAAGGTAACAGGTTTGGGTTCAGCTGATCTGACTGCCCACTGTCAGGGCAGCCATCGGTCCGTGGTTCATCCTCAGGCCCTCAGGTTGCTGAGGACCAGAGGTCAAGACTAAGCTCCCCATGTGAGCATTCACTGCCTGTATTGGATGCAAGTTTCTCGGGTTCACCCAGATGCTAGATGGCCCCTCAGGCCTTCTCTCTCCAGCTGCTGTGTCTCCCTGATTAAAAATATCCTGTTAAGATCCTTTCTACTAGTCTACTAGTAGAGGCTAATTTAGATAGAGACAATGGATATTTGGCATTATTATTTAAAAAGTTCCCTGGTCCTTTGAAACAAGAACAATAGAACAAAGAGGGAAATACCACCCATTGTCATCTAGACTGAGACTTTAGAGTGTGTGTAAGTGCTGGTCCTGGGGCTTTGTTGCTATCTAGCACTCTACCACTTGAGCCGCAACTCCACTTATGGCTTTTTTGGTGATTAACTGGTGATAACTCACCTTACGGACCTTTTTTGCCCTGGCTGTCTTCTAACTGATCATCAGATTTCAGGCTCTTGAGTAGTTAGGATTATAGACATAAACCACTAGCACCCAGCCTTTTTTCATTTTCCTACAAACAAATTCTTTCTAAATTCTTTCCCTTTGTGGCTGTCTCTAATCTTGAATGTGGCATCTGTGGTTCTAGATTCCCCAGCAGGTTCCTTAGGAACTTCTAGAAAGACGTTTTGTCATCAAAATGTAGCAGAAAACTGAGGGAGGAAAAATCTCACAGAGTCTCAGTGTAATGCCCACACACTGCTACCCATCCCACTACTTGGTAGAAATTCCTTTTAAAAATATTTCTCCAGGGCTAGGAAGGTGGCTCAGTGGTAGAGTGCTTGCCTTGCATGCCTGAGGCCCTGGGTTTGATTCCTCAGCACCACATAAGCAAAAAGAGAAAAGCCGGAAGTGGCGCTGTGGCCCAAGTGGTAGAGCGCTAGCCTTGAGCTGAAGAGCTGAGGGACAGCGCCCAGGCCCAGAGTTCAGGCCCCACGACCGGACCAAAAAAAAAAAAGAAAAAATTTCTCCAGGTCTGGGAAGGTGGCTTAGTGGTAGAGTGCTTGCCTAGCATGCCTGAGGCCCTGAGTTAAATTCTTCGGTACTATATAATAAAAAAATAAAATTATTTTAAAAATAGTTCTCCAAAAGAGCCTTGCTGAGAAACTTACCAAAATGATTTTTGCTTAGTTAGGCTTTTGGTTTTGAAACCATAAAATTTTCACCCACAGATAATAAGCTAAACTTACCTTTTCCACTGCTTTCTCATTAATTAATGGGCCTTGAGTAGTCCCCTCCTCAAATCCATTACCTACACGAAGGTTTGTCTTCATTGCTTCAGCAAATTTCTTTACAAAGGAGTCATGAATACCCCGTTGCACTAAGAACCGGTTTGCACAAACACAAGTCTAGACCGGAAAAAAACAACAACAAAAAAGTTTATGAAGTCAGGTTTTTCAGAAACTACTGATCCAACCAAGAAATGGTACCATGCGGGGGCTGGGAAGGTGGCTCAGTGGTAGAGCGCTTGCCTTGCATGCCTGAGGCCCTGGGTTCGATTCCTCAGCACCACATAAGCAAAAAGAAAAAAAGTCAGAAGTGGTGCTGTGGCTCAAGTGGTAGAGCGCTAGCCTTGAGCTGAAGAGCTGAGGGACAGTGCCCAGACCCAGAGTTCAGGCCCCATAACCAGACCCCCCCCCAAAAAAAAGAAATGGTACCATGCTACCATCTCAGACCTTCACTGTGAAAAGATGGCTCATATCTAGGATTGACTGTATCAGCTCAACAGAGAAAAGTTCAGTAAGAGAAACCAATGGAAATAACCAGCTTTGGGCTGAGATGTAGCTCAGTGGCAAAGCACTTGCCTACCAAGTGCAACAACATCCTGAGTTAGACAAAAAAAATACAGTTAAAAAAAAAAGAAAATAACCAGCTTCAAAGGGTAGGAGAAAGAAAAGATGAACATTTCTAGTTTGGGAAAATCTTTACTTATCTCTGGACTCCACACCTAGCAAAGTCCCTAGCAAGAAAGAAGGCACCAAGTGCATGTTTGCTGAGAGACAGAAGAAAGGAGGAGGAGGAGGTGGAGAAGAGGAGGAAGAAAAAGGAGGAAAAGGAAAGGGAGAAGGAAAAAAGAAGTAGAGGAAGAAGAGAAGGAGGAAGAGAAAGGAAGAAGATGAAGAGAAGAAAAGGGGGAGGAAGGAGGAGGAAGAAAAAGAAGAAAAGAAAGGAGGAAAAGGAGGAAGTAGAAGAGGAGGAGGAAGAGAGATGGAAGGAGATCTCCATTAAACACACTCATCTATTCTCCATATTTATGCTCTGAAAATCCCTCTGTCACTCACCTGTCCAGCATTTCTAAATTTAGATGCCATGGCCCCCTTGACAGCCTGGTCCACGTTGGCACTGTCAAAGACGATGAATGGGGCAAGGCCCCCTAGCTCCATGGAGACCCTTTTCACAGAGTTCGCTGCATGGTGCAACAGAATCTGCCGGAAGGGAGAATGCTATAAGCAGGGAGAGAGACTGCCAGGGTGTTTGGATTTGGATATAAAGTGCCTCTTCTGGCCCTCAAAAGGCATATGAAGGGAAGGTGGTCCCCAGCTGCGGCACCATTTAGAGGTGGTGGGATCAGGAGATCAGAGCTGAATAAGCCTAGCAGGAGGAAGTAGGCCACTGATGTGTACCTTTGGAGAACATATCTTGTCTCTGGACTCTCTCTACAGCTTCCTGGCTGCCATGAGGTGAGTAGCTTCCCTCCACACCTGCCTGTCCACCACGATTACCTCACCCACCACAAGCCTAAAAGCAATGGAGCCAAATCCTTAAGTCAGTTTTCTCAGGTACTTGGCCACAGCAATGGAACACTGACTAATACACAGGACTACTATGCCTTTGTTTTACAAAATTACTCAAGAATGTACAAAGGTGCCCATGGTATAGATACCATCAAGGAGAAATGAGAAAAGCTATCTGGCCAGGTAGAGTGGCTCTTACAGTAACCCCAACTACTTGGAATTACCTAGGCTAACCTGGGTAAACAAATAATGAATGCCACCCAACTCCTTTGATTGTCAACTAGGAACCCGTAGCATGTCACAATAGGAGACAACACCCTCAGCACCCCAGAGGATGATCGAACACCACTATAGGAAAGCTTTGAACACTGCTGAAGAATCTGTCTGAAACTGGTGATCAAGACAAAAGAGGAGTGTTATGCTCTTTATAAAGACATTGGACTTGCTGGAGACTTCAGTCTCCTACCTTGCCTGTTGCTGTTGAGCCAGTGAAGGAAATTTTGGACACTAGCGGGTCAGTGCAGAGTGCTTCCCCAACTTCCTTGGCCTTCGCTCGGGAGCAAGGAACAACATTGTAGACACCAGGAGGGATTCCTGCTTGGTTTGCGAGCTGTGAAGACAGCCAGCAAGCATGTGTTAACTAAGAAGTAGACTGGAAAACATCAGAAAACAGAAGAAATAGATGGTTCATCCAAATAGCATGAGGCTCGGAGTTTAAGTACTACACCTACACAAAAAATTTAGTGCCTTTTTAATGAAGATGATAAATAGATATCATTTTTAGGGTGATTAAGAATGTGGTGGGTAGGTACCACAAAAATCCTTCTTTTTTGTTTCTACAACGAGCATCTAACATCTGACCTAAATAATTGCCAGCAGATTAAAACATGATAATATACACATGGCAGGCAAATATAGAGACTCCAAAACTGCTTCTTTCTGTCCCTGATAAAAATTCACTTGTGGCCCAGACGAGCAAATGTAGCTACTCAGGAGGCAAAGAGAGGGAGGACTGTGGTTTGAGGCTACCCTGGGAAGAGAGTTAAAGAGACCCTTTCTCCATGAAAAAAGCCAAGCAGGGTCATGTGCGCCTGTCATCCCAGCTATTAAGGAGGTATAAAGTAGAAAAATGACATCCAGGCTAACTGCAAGAAAAGCAGTACCATATATTAAAAAAAAAAAAAGTGAGAGAAAAGGGCTAGGGGTGTGTTTGCCCAGCAAGTATTTAAGACTCTTGAGTTCAAATCCCAAAACCATGAATAAAAATCCACATGGAGACTTGTTTGGTTCAAGATACACACACACACACACACACGCATATGCTCACCTGGGCCAAGGCCAGGGCAGAGAAAGGTGTATCTTCAGCAGGTTTTACCACTACAGTGCAGCCAGCTGCAAGGGCGGCCCCCACCTTCCTGGTGATCATGGCACTGGGGAAATTCCACTGGAATTAGAAGGGCAAAGGAAGTGCGTGAGAAGCCTGCCACATTATCCACAGCAAGGAGGTCAGTTCCCAGATTCCACTGCACAACTGATCGGCAGACCTGTTCTCCACCTGCCCAGGTGTTCTCCCTTAAGGAGATAAAGGCTCATAAAGATAGGATACATTAAGATTTTTTTAATGCTTTGTGGGATGTTCTATTACAATTATTCCACTAAGCATAATTTATTTTTCAAACTATGGCACAATAAAAAAATGGGTCCTATCTTACTAGGTGCTGGTGGCTCATACCCATAATCTTAGATACTATGATCTGAGGATTGCAGTTCAAAGCCAGCCCAGGCAGGAAAGTCCGTAAGATTGTTATCCCCAATAAACCACTGAAAAGCTAGAAGAAGAGCTGTGGCTCAAGTAGTACAATGACAGCCTTGAGTGGAAAAATCTAAGGGACAGTGCCCAGGCCCTGAGTTCAAGACCCAGTTACCAACACAGAAGAAAAATGAGTCCTATCTTAAAGTCTTTTAAAAAAAATAACAAATTCCTAGCTGGGCACTGGTGGTTCACACCCATAGTCCTACCTACTCGGGAGGATGAGATCTGAGGACTGTGGTTCAAAGACAGCCAGGACAGAAGAGTCCCCATGATACTTTTTTTTTTTTTTTTGGTCAGTTGTGGGGCTTGTACTCTGGGCTTGGGCGCTGTCCCTGCACTCTTCAGCTCAAGGTGAGCGCTCTACTGCTTAAGTCAAAGCGCTACTTCCAGTTTTCTAGTGGTTTTTATGGAGATAGGAGTCTCACGGACTTTCCTGCTTGGGCTGGCTTTGAACCAAGATCCTCAGATCTCAGCCTCCCGAGTAGCCACCGGCACCTGGATGTGCTCGTGATACTCTTATCTCCAATTAACCACTCAGAAACCGGAAGTGGCAGTGTGGCTCGAGTGGTAGAGCTCTAGCCTTGAGCACAAAGAGGCTCAGGGACAGAGTCCAGGCTCTGAGTTCAAGCCCCACAACTCATAAATTCTCAAAGATCTTTTGAGAGGTACTAGGCAATGCTGGGAAGAAGCAAGCCATTCTGGCAGGTCAGAAAAGCCTCGGCATCTTCCTATGGGTCACCAGCGATGGCCCTTAGCCCCTCACTGCCACACACTTACAGTTATCTCAAGAGGAAGCGGAAATGCATCTGCATCTAGAAAAGGAATCAGGAAACCAAGGACAGGTGAGGAAGCCAACAAAACAGCACACCTGCTCACCAGGAAGAACAAGTCATTTCTTACCTCACCACCCAGTTCCCAACCCTGGGACCACGACGGTCCTGGCACATACCGGTGTGATGATGGAGGCCACGCCCAGGGGCTGCTTGAGGACCAGGGCTCGCCTGTCCTTTGAGGAGGTAGGAATAATGTCTCCATAAACACGGCGAGCTTCTTCTGAAAACCACTCTAGGAAGAGGGCGGAATAGACCATTTCTCCCTGTGCTTCTGCCAGTGGCTTTCCCTAAATCAGATCAGACAAAGAATGCTTATTGCCTTCTAATAAATAAACGGGATCTCTCAATTCTTCAAGGCTGCAGGGAAATAGAAAACTTTCTCACCAACAGGGTTTAGGGGGAAAAATTTTGAACTTTGGTGTGAGTCACTGACAGAATTACAAACAGTGATGGGGATAATCATGGCTGGTCTTCCCAGCCACAGGACTCATCCACATCCTCTGTATATTCACAGGGAGGGAGGGTCACCTGGAAGTCCACTCATTTCCCCACTTCTAACATCTCTTAATAGGTGTAGTATAAAGTCAGTTATAACAATGGAGGAACTAATAGTCTATTTTTAAATACATACAATGTGGAAAACCAAGACAGTCATGGGGGTGGGAGGGGGACCTGGACAGGTAAAAAGTAAATTCATATCGTTCCAAACAAAACCTATTCTTTTTGCATCCTAATAAAGAATACTACTGTGTCCTAGCAAACATGAATTTTGTTTTAGCAAATATTATTTGTCTGGCCCAATAATGCTCATCAGACAAAGAACTATACATTCTTTAGCTACAGATTAACACTAATATGGAAGCCAAGAACCTGTGGCTCATGCTCATAATCCTAGGTACTCAGGAGGCTGAGATCTGGAGGAAGATCAAGGTTAAAAGCCAGCCTGGGTAGAAACATCCAAACGACTTGATATTCCATTTAACCAGAAAAAAAAAAAAAAGATGTTGGGTTGAAGGCATGGCTCAAATGGCAGAATGTCAGCCAAGCAAGCAAACTGAGCAAGCTTGAGGCTCTGAGTTTAAACTCCAGTATCAGCAAAACAAACACAGCACCAATGGGAAGTGAGAGGCTTTTCCAAGTTTTAATGTAAAAACTCCAGGATTGTTCCTGAGGACAGTCAGGTAGGGTCCTGAACTTACGCTCTCAGCTGTGATTATTTTCGCAAGGTCATCCTTATTTTGCATCATTAAATCGTACCATTTCCGAAGTAATGAACTTCTCTCCTGAAAAAGAAATAACAAGGCAGAGAAGTAATGAAATGTGCAATAGAAGATGGACTAGTAAATATTCTGCACTTTCCTGGCATACTAGCTGTGTAGTCTCATTCTTGCTGTGATGGTTCAGTTGGCACATTTCTGCTAACCCATGTTGGACTTTTGACAGCTAACACCACACAAGACCAAATCTATGTTGTTTCTGGCTGCTAAGTCTGTGAAAAAATTTTTTTATAGCAGCCACAGGACACTAACACTTTAGCTTATGAGGTGGTCAACAGAGGCCAATTCCTCTCCTTCCATGCCATCGATGAGTTCACAAGATGGCAAAAGGGCAGCAAACACATACAAAGAAAGATGTGAGGCAAACATGTACAAAAGATGTCAAAATCTCTAGCCCAAAGCCGTGGGTTTTTTTGCCTCTGACAGGTTCAAAGGTGGAAGTTCTGTATGCTGAAGGCCTTTAAGAATGGGTAGAATGTGAATGGCACTTGTGAAAGAGAGAAAAACAGGCCTGGGGAAAAGACACCACAGGCCCAGAGGCAATAGCAGGGTGAACCACAGGGCTAGCCTCCAGACAGTATTCATCCCCTGGCTTGTGCCCCACCAGCTCCCACCTGTGTGGGGTCCAAAGGGAACACAGCACTCCCCCCTCAGTAGATGACTCAAGGTTCAAGACTCCCTCCTTTCAAGAAGGATGCTTCCTTCTTGTAAAGAAGGAAGTCTTGTAAAGATTCCTAGTAAAATGGAAGCCACAATGTGTTCATGTTGAAGGGGCACAGGCAGGATGGTGGCAGGTATGACCAGGGGACCTTGCTGGTTCCTGTCCCAGCCCCGCAGTCGCCAAACCACCCTTGCACTGTGACATCACTGTGGTGGCCTTGATCCTTGTGAAATGATGCTAGAGAACCCAGGGATCAGGCCTGACCCCTTCCCTTCCCTCATCCCCACAGCTGTGATGCATGCCCAGTACACTGGTGCATACTGTCCATGTTTACATCTCTAGCTCAGTGCTCACTTCCAGACTCCAGCTCAAACATCCAGCCACTTGCTTTTCCATTCCTCACTTGGGGGATTCTAATGGACATCCTAATATCTCAGAGGCAATGTGTCCCAAACTGAGCTCCAATTCCACTCCAGGCTGTTTCACTCACACCCTCCCCCATCTCAGCCGGAAGTTATTCCGCCCTTCCCTTCCAGTTGCTCAGGCCAAACGTCCTGGCTTCGCTTTTGCTACTGCATCCCATAAGACTCCATCAAGAAAGAACCAAGCCGGGCACTGGTGGTTCATGCCTGTAATCCTAGCTACTCAGAAGGCTGCCCGGTATGGCTTTGAACTGCTATCCTCAGATTTCAGCCTCCTAAGCAGCTAGGATTACAGGCGTGAGCCACCTGTGCCGGGCTCTGTGAGACTCTTCTCTCCAATAAAGCACCAGAAAACGGGAAGAGGCCCTCTGGCCCAAGTGGTAGAGCGGTAGCCTTGAGCTGAAGAGCTGAGGGACAGCGTCCAGGCCCAGAGTTCAAGCCCCATGCAAAAAAAAGAAAAAAAAGAAAAAGAAATAACCTTCCTTCAGAATATATCCCTTATGGGACTATGAGTCAACACTTCCATCACCACAACCCTCGCTCTAGCCATCACCACCTTTCACCTGTATCACAGTGATAGCTTAGACATGGTTGGTGCCTCAACAGTTCATGCGATTGAAGCTTGATCCTCAATGTTGCAGCAATAAAAGGTCAAGTCTTGTCAGTCCTCGGGTCATTTTCTAGGGTGTATTTGGAAGGGACTAAGGTAGGTTTCATGGGATCCTGGGAGCTAGATCTTGACAATGTAAGTTGTTATAACAGGGAGTTAGATCCCTGAATGGCTCTTGGTTCCTGTCCTAACATGTGATCACAAGTTCCCAGACTTGCTTTCACCATGACACCATCTCCAATAAGGCCTTCACCCCAGGTGGACTCCCTGGTGGTCTCTAGATCTTGGACTTCTACCTTCAAAAAGTGTGAGCAAAATAAACCTCTTTTAGCCTGGGTCAGGAATTTCCTTATCAACAAAAGCCAGACTAATACAACTTCCCTCTTTTAGTCTATCCACAGCACTGGACTAGAGTGTCCTTTCAAAATGTCGACCAGATCACACCTCTGCCCAGGTATTATGTTCCCTCTCTCTCTAGCTCTTCCACAGAGACTAATCCACAGAGGTTTCCTGGCCACTCTGAAAACACCACAGCCATGGACCAGCCTGGTGCTTACCTGAAATCCTTACTTTGTTGTTGTTAGGCTTGAACTCAAGGCCTAGGTGCAATCTCTTGAGCTTTTTTTTTTTTTTTGGTCTGGTTGTGGGGCCTGAACTCTGGGCCTGGGCACTGTCCCTCAGCCCTTCAGCTCAAGGCTAGCACTTGAGCCACAACACCACTTCCGGCTTTTTTCTTTTTGCTTATGTGGTGCTGAGGAATCGAACCCAGGGCCTCATGCATGCAAGGCAAGTGTTCTACCACTGAGCCACCTTCCCAGCCCTCTCTTGTGCTCAAGAGCTAGTGCCACTTTGAGCCACAGCTCCACTTCTGGCATTCTGGTGGTTAATTGGAGATAAGAGTCTCAGTGCCTTTCCTACTTGGGCTGGCTTTGAACTGTGATCCTCAGATCTCAGCCTCCTGAGTAACTAGGATTACAGGCATGAGCCACCAGCCAGGGCCCATATTTCTTTTTAATCTTTGGTCTCTTATTCTCTGGGAGGTCTACCTTGATGTTGTGGGTTGAAAGCTGCCTCTCCTAAATTGACATGTTGGAAGTCTTACATCCCTCTCCCTCAGTAGCTCAGAATGCGTCTTTGGAGATAAGCCCTTTAAATAGGCAATAAAGGCAAGGTGGGGTCTATGACTAGATGACTTTAGAAGGTGGCCATTAGGATACAGGTGCACACACACATTGGTCGTCATGTCCATACTCGCAGGTGGCCAGGCTCGTGGCCTACAGGACTCTGATTACTCGTGTTAAGTGCTCCTGCTCTGCCAACCTCGTCCCTAACCCGGCAGTCCACATTTTGAGGTTTGCGCCTGCACCCACAAGCCCAAGCTCCAGAGTTATTCGTGGTTTGTGTGTGACACCGTGCGTTTTGCATCCTCGAGGGGCACGGGGCGTCTGCCCCCGCTGGA